CTTTCTACATCAGCCACCCCCTATTGTTCATGTACCTAGTGCTCCACAAACCACAAATCCACCTCCTTCACCCTCTTCCTCAACCCATTCTCCAGTTCCTCATTCACCTACCACTCCTAACACTCATCAAAGTTCCTCCTCATCAACTCATCATTCTACTCACTCAAATTCCACCATACCTCTTTATGTTGAATTGCCAATTGTGAGAGACAACTCTGAAACTACCAATGTGCCTGCTAATGTTCATCAACCTCTGCACCCCATGATTACCAGGTCTAAGACAGGTTCCTTGAAGCCCAGAATCTTTACTACTCAGCTACAGGCCTCAACACCTTCCACCTACAAAGAGGCTCTCACTCAGACAGACTGGAGAACAGCTATGCAATCAGAATACAAAGCTCTTCTTGACAACAACACATGGTCCCTTGTTCCCCCACCTGCCAACAAATCCATCATAGGCTGCAAGTGGTTGTTCAAAGTCAAAAGGCATGCTGATGGGACTATAGCCAGACACAAAGCCAGACTAGTTGCCAAAGGCTATAGCCAAGCTGCTGGTATTGACTTCTATGAGACCTTCAGTCCTGTGGTCAAACCAACAACAATTCGAGCAGTCCTATCTTTAGCTCTCTCTCATGGCTGGTACATTAAACACCTAGACTTCAACAATGCCTTCTTGCATGGGGACATCACTGAAGAGCTTTATATGGCTCAACCTCCTGGTTTTGAAGATCCTACTCAACCTCACCTGGTGTGCAAGCTTCACAAATCCCTCTATGGCCTCAAACAAGCCCCAAGGGCATGGTTTATTAAACTAAAACAATCACTTCTCTCTCTTGGCTTTCAAAATTCCAAATCAGATTGCTCTCTCTACATTAAGAAGTCACCTACCTCTTGCACTTGGCTTCTTGTTTATGTAGATGATATACTCATCACTGGCTCCAATGTTGCTGCCATCTCCACTATCATTGGCACTCTCAAAGAGCAGTTCTCCTTAAAAGATCTGGGTCCCATCCACCACTTTCTTGGTATTGAGATCAATCATACTGCCTCAGGTCTCTCTCTCTCTCAGTCCAAGTATATTCAAGATATATTGATCAAGACACAAATGAGAGATGCCAAATCACTCCCCACACCCATGGTCTCATCATCTTCCCTCACCAAAAACAATGGCAGCCCAATGGAAGATCCAACACTTTATAGAAGTGTAGTAGGTTCACTTCAATATGCTTGTATCACCAGACCAGACATCTCCTATAGTGTAAACAAAGTTTGTCAGTTCATGCAGTGCCCAATGGACACTCACTGGAAAGCAGTGAAGAGAATATTAAGGTATCTAGCAGGCACTATAACCTATGGACTGCACTACACCAAAAACATAAGCTCTCATCTCACAGCCTTCTCAGACTCAGACTGGGCCAATGACTTAGATGATAGAAGGTCCACATCTGGGATCTGTGTATACCTTGGCAAAAACCCCATCTCCTGGTGCTCCAAGAAACAATCATCCATCTCCAAATCCAGCACAGAGGCTGAATACAGAAGCCTTGCTCAAGCATCAGCTGAGTTGATCTGGATTACATCCCTCCTTCAAGAACTGTCAGTCCCAAGCACTCAAGTACCCACTGTGTGGGTTGATAATCTCAGCACCATCTCTCTATCCTCCAACCCTGTCCTTCATGCTCGAACCAAGCACATCGAGATTGACATCCATTTTGTGAGAGATCAAGTGGCTAATGGCACCCTCAAAGTCCACCATGTACCCTCTGTGGATCAGGTTGGTGATGTCTTCACCAAACCTCTATCTCTTCAAGCCTTTGCTCGGTTCAGGAATCTTTTACAAGTCTTCCCAGTCACCTCCTTCGGCTTGAGGGGGGATGATAGCATACATGCAGACGTGCATATTGCCCATACAAACACTAAACCACAAGAAGACAACATTCCCTTGACATGTCATCACAAAGACCAAGCAAAGACTCAGCCACATCACCATGCAAGAGAAAAAGGAAAAAGGAGAAAGCACAATGATATAGATAGTGAAGATTGAATGATAACCGTAGGATTCATATACATTGTCCTATAAATACCTTACCATATTTGGAACCCTAGAACAATGAGCCATGTAAAGTTGATATGCTGTTTTCATGAAAATGTGAGTTCACAGTTTTGGCATGCTTTCTCTTCTTGATTTTATCCAATCTCAGATCTGTTTTCTAGTTTCTTAACAGCGTGGAACTAGGGGAATATAATGTGGGTTTTAAAGTGAAGGGGGCTATTAAGGCTCAAGCTCTGGCAGACTTCATACAGGAATGCACCTCCGAAAGTGAGGTGGGGCAATGGATGGTGTATGTCGACGTTTCTTCGGCTGTAGGAGGTGTAGGGCTGGGTATCTTAGTCATCACGTCTGAGAAAGATCTGGAGTTTACAGTCAAATTATCATTTAGAGCGTCCAACAATGAAGTTGAATATGAAGCTCTTATTAAGAGAATTCACTCATCCTAAAGGAGGGAGCCCGATGGGTGATCGTTCATTTGGACTTCCGCTTGTGGTCGAACAGGTTAAGGGAGAGTATGAAGTAAAGGAGAATCGCATGAAGAGGTATGTAGTCGAAGTCCATTCAATCCTAAAAGGGTTTACAACCTGGGAGCTAGTGCAAATACCTCAAGGGGAGAATGGCATGACCGACCTTCTTTTTAAGATGGCCGCATCTTTTGTGGATTGCCAATCAAGATCAGTAACATTGCTAGACATGGTCGCGAGTACCTTGGAATAGGTACTAAAGGTTGAAGAGCAAAAAGATTGGAGGTCACCTATAATGAGATTGTTGCAAAACCCGATCATAGAAAATATGGGTAGAAGAGCTCTAAGGTTTTTCCTACACAATGGGATACTATATAAGCGATCGTCCGTTGGGCCACACCTACGATGTGTTTCTGACCTCGATGGAGAGTATATGCTGAAAGAAGTTTATTGGGGTTGTTGCGGCGACCATGTGAAAGCTAGGGAGTTGGTGGGAACGATCCTTCAGGCCGGTTAATTTTGGCCGAAAATGAAGGCGATGATGCAGAAACTTGTGAATAAATGCACAAAGTGTCAGTAATACGACCCACTAATCCATCAACCGACAGAAGTCATAATCCCGATGAGCTCGTCGCTGCCTTTCGCGCAATGGGGATTTGATATAGTAGTCCCTTTACCCCAAGCAATAGGCCAACGAAAGTTTTTGATAGCTGCAAGGGACTATTTCACTAAGTGGATTGAGGCAGAACTGTTGACAAAGATTACCGATGAAAAGATGATAAATTCCTATTCATCAATATCTGCTGTCGTTATGGCATTCCACGGGTGCTCATTTCTGATAATTGATCTCTGTTTAGAGGTCGACGCATAATGACATGGTGCGAAGATATGATCATAAAGCAGAAGTTTGTATAGGTGTCCCATCCGCAGGTGAACGGGCGTGCTGAGGTCGCCAACAGATCGATCCTTAGTTGGATAAAAAGTAGGCTGGAAAGACCTTCAGGAGCATGGGTAGATGAGCTCGACTCGGTTCTCTGGTCGTACCGAACAACGCTAAGAGCTTCGACGAGGGAAACACCATTTCGTCTGGTATATGGCATGGGAGAGGTTATCCTAGTAGAAGTTGGCTTGAGCTTAGAGAGAGTTAGTACATGTGGGCAGGAACTACAGAGAGAAACGCTCGACCTATTGGACGAGCTACGCGATGAGACGACAATCAGGACATCTGCTTATAAGCAAAAGGATGAGACTGACCCATGATAAGATGATCTGAGCTTGGCGTTTCCAAGTGGAAGAAGACCTGGCTGGTGCCAGGCTGACGCCCTCAAGAACGTTGGAAAATTGGAACCAAATAGGAAAGGACCATATACTATCGAAAGGATTTTCGCAGAGGGAGCATACGAGCTACGATATTCTAAAGGACATATGCTACCCAGACCTTGGAATGTGGCGCATTGAAGAAGTGTTATGCTTGATTAGACAGCATCTAGTAATTACAACTACTATTTACTTTTGGATGTTTTTAGTAGAACAACACTCTTCAATAAATGATGTTATTTATGATTCACGTCAGGAGTAGGGCGCAAGCCTTTCGTGGCATTGCTGAGCTCGAAGAGCTCGACAGCGAGTCCTCAGACTTGTATCCAATCTAGGGCGCAAGTCTCTCGTGGCGTTGCCGAGCTCGGTAGCGGGTCCTCAGACTCGTAGCCAATCTAGGCCACAAGACTGTCATCGGGAGGTCGACAACAAGTCCTCAGACTCGTAGCCAATCTAGAGCACAAGCCTGTCGTGGTGTCGCGAGCTCGGCAACGAGTCCTCAAACTCGTAAGCCAAGCTAGGGCGCAAAGCTGTCGTGACGTTGCTGAGCTCGCAGAACTCGACAACGAATCTTCAGACTCGCAAGCCAAGTTAGGGCGCAACCTGTCGTAGAATTGTCGATCCCGCGGAGCTCGACAACAAGTCCTCAAACTTGTGGTGTAGCTAGGGCGTAAGCCTGTTGTGACATTGCCCAAGTTTGTGGAGCTTGGCAAACCTGTTCCGATGTTGTTTGAGTTCGCGGATCTCAGGAATGAAGACAACATACTCGTTGCTAGAAAAAGTAGCTCGTCACAAGATCACTTGAGCTGACGACATAAGCATACAATATATGAAAATAATCGGCAAAAACATCATTTGAACAAAAGGCTTAGAGACCAAGGTCACATGAGCTAACGACATAAGCATACATTTGAATACAAAGTCAACCAATATGAAAATTGGTTGATCCTAGATCTAGAATAAGAACCGCAACCGCAACCACCGATTCGAGAAGTAAAACTAATACACGACGAGCCGATTAAACGAAGCCACGGTTCCGGTTTTGAACCTACTGACTCGAACCCATTGGCCACGTGTTCTAGCTTCATTCATGATGTCACTACTTACGTTCTGGAGGTCCCACGTGCCGCACCACGTTTTTACTTTATCACCCAAACGAGAACTGCGTGCACATTCGCTTTCCCAAAATCTCTGCTCAATCGATCAAAATCTGTACCGCCACTCCACCTCTAATCCTCTATAAATGCACTCATCCTTCTGAAGAACAAAACCATTCAACGCAATTGAAATTTTTTGAGAGAAGTGAAGGAAAAATGGCTGCGATAGTACCGAGGATGAAGCTGGGCTCGCAGGGTCTTGAGGTTTCTAAGCAAGGGCTGGGCTGCATGAGCATGTCTGCTTTTTACGGCCAGCCGAAGCCCGAGCCAGACATGATTCACCTCATCCACCACGCCATCAACTCCGGCGTCACATTCCTGGACACCTCCGATGTCTACGGACCCCACACCAATGAAATCCTCATCGGCAAGGTCTGCTAATTTTGCAAAATCCCCCTTTTTTCTGTACTTTTTGTGTGCGTTCTATTTTTTTGATGATTCTACTGAGGTGGAATTTAATGGTGAATGAGTATGATTGTCGATTAAAACCTTGATGGACTTGTGCAGCAGTGAGTGATCTGTCACTGTTCATTTGGAACTTCTTTTATTCGGTTCATATTTTGTAATATCTACTGTAAAATTATATGCATGCTCCTATTTTCCCCCTTAATTTTCTGCCAGATTATTTTCTATGGCTGATGTTCTTGTAAATGTTTGGTGTTGAAATCTGTTGTGTATTAACAAATTTTGCACAAGTTCTGATATAAGTTGTTGTAGTTGTTATATTAACTCAAGTTCACTTTGGGAATTGTGTTATAGGCTCTAAAAGGGATAGCGAGAGATAAAGTGCAAATAGCTACAAAGTTTGGGATATCAACAAAAGATGGGAAGATGGATGTAAGAGGTGACCCAGCATATGTGAGGGCATCCTGTGAGGCAAGCTTGAAGCGTCTGGACATTGACTGCATTGATCTCTATTATGCGCACCGTATTGACATTCGTGTGCCTATAGAAGTCACGGTATAGTCTCTTCCTATACACGTAAATGTTCTTTAGCTCATGACTGTAACATTGGAAAATTGGGTGGATAGATGATCACTTTACGTCACCAAGGAATTTTAGCTGAACTTGTGTTAACTTTGACATAAAATGTTCCTTTGGGGTCATTTTATCCTTTAGTGCATGAAGTGGCATGCCCACTGCCACTGCTTAGGTCATGCTATTATTCTTCTTTGTTTAAAAAGTTGTTGTTTTGGCGATTAATTATTTTTATTTTCATTCTCATAAATCTGTACACAATAGGCTGCACTATCCCTAAGTACATTGAACTAGTCTCTTAATTGTACTTGGGTAAAAATGCATACAGGAAAAACCAATATACATATTCATGAATACCTTAAGACTCCTATCACAAAGCACTTAAAATAGAACCGAATAACCCTTCACTTTTGGAGGCCCATTAAGCATATTTATTTGTGATTGCGACCATACGACCTATTTCATCTTTCCTCTCTTGAGGAGTAGAAAGAAAGATAAAAGCACAAGTTTGTATTCAAGTATATTTGGATATAAGCATTATGAAATTCGGCATTATATTTCTTATCGTAATGGTCATTCACGACAATGTTTGTTAGCCTTACTGGCTACTTCATTAGTTCCTTTGCTGCCTAGACATGCTTATCTGAAGCAACTGTCAAATGAGAAACTGTAGTTGCAGCGACTCCCTGTGTAATAATTTACTGGTGCTTCGTCCCGGTTTATATATTCTAATTTTTTTTTTCTCATTATTATATCCGGGTTCATGCATTTTAAGATGGGAGAACTGAAGAAACTTGTTGAGGAAGGGAAAATTAAGTATGTTGGACTCTCAGAAGCCTCTGCTTCAACAATCAGAAGGGCTCATGCTGTTCATCCGGTAACGGCAGTTCAAAATGAGTGGTCATTGTGGTCAAGGGATTTAGAAGATGAAATTGTTCCTACTTGCAGGTAAACACCTTTTCTCTTTCCTTCACAATATTCTAGGACGTGAAAAAAATAATGAAACATTTTTGCCTATCCTATGACTTTCAGAGAACTCGGTATTGGAATTGTCCCCTACAGTCCCCTTGGGCGTGGTTTCTTTTCCTCAGGTGCAAATTTGATACAAAATTTGGGGGAGGGCGACTTCCGTAAGGTTGGTGATATACATATAATATTGACTTCCATCAGTGTGGACAAATTGTAATTGTTTGCTAAACACCAAGGTTATCTTTTTTCAATTTTGTTCTCATACACTTGTTGAGAGTTGAGGCCGTTGGTCATATTTTATATGTGTGGTCAACGTTCAAATCCTAATTCCCCTTCTTAGGAACAAACATTGATATTATTGAACAGAAATAACAGCGAATAGACAGAATTCCGGGTGTTGATATGATAAGATTTTGCTCGTGGTGAAATATTTGTATGCTCCAGCAAGATTTTTTTTTTTTTTGAATCGGGAAGCTTTTTTCTTTTTCACAGTAACGCTAATACAAATGTATCCTTTTATTTTCTAGAACTTTCCAAGGTTCAAGCCAGAGAATCTTGAAAGCAACAAGGTGATATTCGAAAGGGTAACAGAAATGGCTAAAAGAAAAGGGTGCACCCAATCTCAACTGGCGCTTGCTTGGGTTCATCACAAAGGAGATGACGTGTGCCCTATACCCGGGACTACTAAAGTGGATAACTTTAACCAGAATATTGGAGCTCTTTCTGTGAAATTAAGTCCCCAAGAGATGGCTGAGCTTGAGTCCTATGCTTCAGCTGAGGTCGTAAAAGGAGACAGACATGCTTTCATGGCAACAACTTGGATGAATTCAGAGACTCCTCCGTTATCGTCTTGGAAAGCTGATCAGTGACTTGCTGTCCTCCAGGCTGAGGTAATTGTACTCTGTGATGTGATCTTGTTCTGAGACTTTTCTAGTTAATTTCTTGTATTCACGCATGGGTGTCTACTAGTTGTTACTTCCAAGTTATGAGAGCTTGTAAGAGTTGGCATGCGAATAAATTGGTTTCCCTCCCACGTGTCCAGGAATTCAGTAAGTATTAGTGTGAATGTATTATCTTTATGCAATAACTATATAATCTATCTATCTATATATATATATGTTGTTGCTTTTGTATCATGTTCATTGGTTCAAGACCTTCTTCGCTGTTCGTAGCGAAATCTTAAACATTCAGAACTGGCATAACTCTGTTGTTGCATCATACCCAAGTATTGAGTGTTAATGTATTATCTTTATGTAATAACGATATAAATCAATCTATCTATATATATATATATGTATGAGATTCGGTGAAAAAGAGTGTAACGAAAGAAATAAGAATAAATCTCATGACTACAAGATTCAAGATTCAACTCATTTGACGGACATCAACAGGCAACCGCCACATAATTAGGAGGGCAAATTAGTCATTTTATCTTGATCCTCGAAAGACGCAAACGCAGATCGAGAAACATCGTGTACCCTGGGAAGAAAATCCCATTTTTCCTTTGCAATCTTGTAATCGGATCATTGATGATCTAGGGTAATTTGTTCGAGATAAGCGATACATCTCCGTTGATTTGCGTAATTTGTTCGAGATAAGCGATACATCTCCGTTGATTTGCATATCGAGTTCCTGAGCAATTTGTTGTCAACATGTGTTGCATATTGAGCTCCATCCAGTTTTTCATCGAGTTCCTGAGCAATTTGTTGTCGACAAGTGTTGCATATTGAGCTCCATCCAGTTTTTCATCGAAACACCATCATCTCGCTGTTTCGAAATCTGTACTTATATAAAAGGGGATCCTATTTACTACATTTAGTATCCAGAAAAGTCAACTGCATTAAATGTCATTACTATTTCGGTACTAATATTTTATTTAACTGATTTCTTTATCTATATATATATAATAAGAATTACCATTTTCAAAAAATGGCAGGTCAACTATATGGTCAAATTCTCTCATCATTAATTACTTTTCATTACTTATAATTTATTTATTTATTATTTTCTTAGCTAAAACAGACTAACATTAATTCATTTCCTTCAAATGTGGAAGTTGTTGCTTTATTTTTGTACAGAAAATCAGGTTTCATTATAGAAATTTGTTCAATTACACAATGAATTTGCTATGATATAATTATTTTTTATGGGAACTTTTTGTTTAACAGAAAAATATAGCATTTCAATAAGATTTTCGATTTTTTAAGACTGATTGTTATCATGCTATGAAATTGAATATTCCAATAGACATTAACAAAATATACACGTGTTGTATACATCAGTTAATAGAAATATAAAATTCTCATATTTTTATATATGTGTATGTAATTTTTCTATTACCAAATTTAATTGATAGTTGTTGTGTTATGGGTTTTTCGTAATTGTTACTTGGTTGTTTTGATATTTAGTTTGGTTGGTGTAGTAAAAATTTTAATCTATATATAATAAGAATAATCATTATAATGCAAATTAGAAAATATTGATATTAGAAGAGATTGAGTTCATGGCTTTTCTTAAATCAAAGTTGTTTAATTAGTATACAAAATTAAATTCTAAAAAAATATATGTGTATATTTTGTACATTATTTATACGCTATTTAATTTTAAATTTATTTATATATTTTAAATTGATTAATTATATAAGTAATACCAACGTGCATTAAATATATTTCATTACATAAACTAAAAAGAGCAAGAGGACGTGCAACTTCTATAACTTTGTAAATAATAATGACATTATATGGCAACAGAGTTTATAGTAAAATAATAATTAACTATTATATAGTGACCAAGAATAAGTAAAATTGTTATTTTCTCTTATATCAAGGAATAAATATATATAATAAAATTAAATTTATATTAGTATAAATGTGTTAGTGAGATAATATATTAATTATTTTACAAGTTAGCTCTAACATGCTCACGTTTAATGTTCTGACTAATGAAACAACGCTGATTAAAAGATGTGAAAAATAGATTACAACCCTATTTTTTTAGACTTAACGGTGATTAAAAGAGGTAGAAAATGGATGATAACTCTTTTCAGACTTAAACGGGACTTAACGGTGATTAAAAGAGGTGGAAAATGGATGATAACCTTTCTCAGACTTAAACGGACAGAGCCTGTGAAAATAATTCATTTAATATCTCTCTTGTGCATCGCACGGGGTACGTACTAGTTGTGTATATTGAACATCGTTCGTTAAATTCTGAACAGATCAAGAAAATATTGTTCGCTAATAATATGAATTGTAATATTGTTCGTTTTTTTTAACTATTGTTGTAAATATTTTTACCGGAGTAGAATCGAAAGATTCGAACACCGGGTCGTTTCTCAAGGAAGGTTAGCCGGATTAAATTGCGCGAATATTCAATCACAAAAGAGAAAATAATCCTAACACTCTAATCAGATTGATTTGGTTTGATTATCAACTACGAAAAACTTCAATTAAAGCAAATATAAATAGCAAGCAATCGACGAAGAACAAGTAGGATTTAAGGAGCTAGGGAGTCGGGGATATCCGTTTTGGTTCGAAAATGTAATTGTCAAGCAAGAGATTGTTCGGTTAAGTGATTTGACTAATCGACACGTTCAAGCACTCATTCTCAATAACTTTTCGACAAGAGAACAAACTAGAACGGCAAATTAACAATTCATTTAACTCCTAGGCAATACAGTTACGAACAAACCTAGTTCATACGAGCCTATTTCGACCGACTCCTCCCCTTTCGGTTCTAAGAGTCGATTAAAGTAGACTAGAGGGTGGTTAATCGACTAGTCCGTTAAGAGTTAAAAACATCAAGCACGAATTTATCGAATTCAATCCAAACAATTGCAAGTTGAAGTGTCACTATTCAACAATTCTCAAAACTCAAGCTAAAAATTGAAAAACCCTAATAAAAGATTAACTCGTATGAATTTGAACAACCTGAGCCCGACAATCACAAACGATATCAAAACATCAATCCCCTATCCCTAGCATATGAATTTAGCCGATCATAATTGAATCATCAACACAAACAATCATATCAATCAAAGAATCCATAATCAATAATCAAGTGAAGAGAAACCCTTACAATTGATAAGACTCCAAGGTTGAATTTGATAAACAAGCTTAAATCCAAAACAAGGAAGAAATCCAAGTGCAAATCCGAGTTCGACGTTGAAAAAATTATGAAGGAAAGATGAAAAACGAGTAAAAAGACGAAGGTAAGGTTTTTTCTCTATTTTGGAATGAGAGAGAGCTAAAACCTAGAAAAAAACATAACATAATGAAAAACGAATCTGAAATCTGAGTTTCAAATTCTGGACGTCGCGGCCGAAAATCCCACGGGCCGCGGTGAAGAAATCTCGCGGCCGCGGCGACTAAAACTGGGCGCCGGTTGGTTTTGTTCACCGCGGCCACCGCGGCCGCGAGGAGACAGTCGCGGCCGCGGTGAAGGATTTTCTGCACAGCAAAATGTTCTCGGGTTCGTGTTCTCGCATCCGGACTCAGAATTTAATCCCGTCTTTTCCAATTCGACCTCAACTCATCCATCTAGATAGTAATCCTCGCATGGCTATGCACCGCGCTACCTATTCTGCACATCACATCGACAAGAAAAAAAATACGGAAAACCAGGAAAAACGAACAAAAAGACCAAAAACGAATAAAACAGGGGAAAAGCACAAAACAACTCAAAATGGACCAAGAACCAAAGAAAAATACCTAAGGAGGGAAAAAACAAACATAAAATAAACAAGAAAAACGTGACGTAAATAGAACGAACAACTATACCACAATTTTTTAAATCGTAATTAATGAGTTCTTATCGACTAATTGATTAACAATATCCTGATTTAATCTCTAATTTTAGTTTGTTGCATGTGGTATCTCAACTCTAACGTGGGTTTGATTCACTCCATTTTCTGAAAAATATTTACTATCCAAAAAGAGAAAAAATAAATAACAGAGGCTAGTTGAGAAAGCGAGAATGTATAGAACCTTTCAACGCGATAGTGCTTTATCAACTCTCTTAACAAAACGAAATAAATTTCAAACGTATATGCCCTGGTTCTTTATTTCGACAAGGTACAAATACCTAAAGTAGATATTTTAGGTAAATTTAGGCTAACATTATAAATCCTCTAAATTTTTTAAGTGTTTGATACCTTGTCTTTGGTAGACTAGAAGCCTACGCATGCTTTAACTGCATCAACGATGGAATTGTACGAATCACAACTAGATAGTGTGAAGATTTTCGCAATTCTTTATAGTTTAAACATCCTAACTAGTTTGTTCTGCGGTGTAATTGCAAGTAATATGCAGTGTAACTAATACACATAAATATGTTCACACATATGTAGGCACTCTCAATGAGTTTGCAGTTAATTCAATTTAGAATTATCATGAACACTAGCTGTTTGAGTCATACCGTCAAAAACATTGTGTGATTTCAAACAATGGGCTTAACTACGATCAAGCCACGTCACACAAAATTAGACAATGACGGAACATATTGAAGAGATAAATATGAAAGACATTATATCTAATAATGACATAACATTTATTTTTTTAAATATTGACCATCTCCTTCCCAACCGTTTTGGTAGAACAAATATATAACCACATATGGTGCACTAACCGGTTCCGATTAAAAGAAAGGAAGCCCCTTCAACCAGCTGTTTGAGTCAGTTGGCTCCACCTTCATCCATCCATCCATATTATTGCTTACTCAGTTTTAAAAAATGTAAATTCATCCCCCGAATGACATCTGCCTCAAGCTCTTCATCCATGGCGTCATTACTTACGCCCGCATATCTAATACCCTTTTGCTTTATCCCCCAAACGCCACCGCCACATCTCTATAAATACAGTCCTTATCCGACAGTGAAGAACATTCAACGCAGTAGGGAAAAAAAAAAATTAAATGGCTGCGATAGTGCCGAGGATGAAGCTGTGCTCGCAGGGTCTTGAGGTTTCTAAGCAAGGGCTGGGCTGCATGAGCATGTCTGCTTTTTACGGCCAGCCGAAGCCCGAGCCGGGCATGATTCAGCTAATCCACCACGCCATCAACTCCGGCGTCACATTCCTGGACACCTCCGATGCCTACGGACCCTACACCAATGAAATCCTCATCGGCAAGGTCTGATAATTTTGCAAAACCCCCTTTTCTCTGTACCTTATGTGCGTACTCTATTTTTTTTTTTTTTAATTTTTAATTTATGATTTTACGAGGCGAAATTGAATGGTGAATGAGCATAATTGTCGGTTAAAACTGTGATGGACTTGTACAGCATCATTTGAAACTTCTTTTATTGGGTTCTGCTTTTATAGTCCTGATCAAAGTTGTTAGATTAACGAGAGATAAAGTGGTATAGGCTGTAAAAGGGATAACGAGAGCTAAAGTGCAAATAGCTACAAAGTTTGCAGTATCTACTAAGGATGGGAAGATAGACATAAGAGGCGACCCAGCATTTGTGAGGGCATCATGTGAGGCAAGCTTGAAGCGTCTCGACATTGATTGCATTGATCTCTATTATGTTCACCGTATTGACACTCGCGTGCCTATAGAGGTCACGGTATTGTCAACCTCTTCCTCAACTATATGTTTTCTATTGGCCATCAGTTAGTTCATTTCTTATTCTCATAAAGCAGTGTGCTGCTGAGTAGACTGCTCTATCCCTAAATACATTCAACTGGTTTATTGATTGCTCTTGGGTAAAAAATGAATACATGGATAGATAGCACAGATATTTGTGGAATTCCTTTGTCAAGACACCTAAAACACTAAGCCAACAACACTTTACTTTCCGAGTCTCATTTATTAAGCTTATCTTCTGTTTTCGCTACCTATTACCTATTTATCCTTTCCTTTTCTGAGTAATAGAAAGAAGATGTATGCACAAGCTTGTATTCTAGGATCTTGTTATGGGATGTAAACTTTATGAAAATCAGCATTCTATTTCTTATTTTAATGCCCATTCACACAAATGTGTGTTAGCCTTATTGGCTACTTCATCAATTCATTTGCTTCCTAGCCATGCATATCTGAAGAAACTTCCAAATAAGAATCTATAGTTTCACCGACTCCCTTTGTAATGATTTATTGCTGTCATGTCTTGCTTTATATATTTTTTTTTTCTTTTTTCTGATTCATATACCCTGGTTCATGCATATTAAGATGGGTGAACTGAAGAAACTAGTTGAAGAAGGGAAAATAAAATATGTTGGTCTATCAGAAGCCTCTGCTTCAACAATTAGAAGGGCTCATGCTATTCATCCATTAATTGCAGTTCAAAATGAGTGGTCATTGTGGTCAAGGGATTTAGAAGATGAAATTGTTCCTACTTGCAGGTAAACACCTCTTTTCTTTCCTTTACAATATTCTAGGACGTGAGAAAAATAATGAAACATTTTCCCTATCCTATGACTTTCAGAGAACTCGGTATTCGAATTGTTGCCTACAGTCCCCTTGGGCGTGGTTTCTTTTCCTCAGGTGCAAAATTTGATACAAAATTTGGGGGAGGGCGACTTCCGTAAGGTTAGTAATATACGTATAATATTGACTTCCGTAAGGTTAGTAATATACGTATAATATTGACTTCCATTGGCGTGGACGAAATTGTCATTGTTTGCTAAACACCAAGGTTATCTATTTCAGTTTTGTTCTCACACAGTTGTTGAGAGCTGAGGCCGTTGGTCATATTTTATATGTGTGGTCAACGTTCAAATCCTAATTCCGCTTCTTAGGAACAAACACTGATATTATTGAACAGAAATAAAAGCGAATAGACAGAATTCCGGGTGTTGATACGATAAGATTTTGCTCGTGGTGAAATATTTGTATGCTCCAGCAAGATTTTTTTATTTTTTATTTTTGAATCGGTGAGCTTTTTTCTTTTTTCACAGCAACACTAATACAAGTGTATCATTTTCTTTTCTAGAACTTCCCAAGGTTCAAGCCAGAGAATGTTGAAAGCAACAAGGTGATATTCGAAAGGGTAAGCGAAATGGCTAAAAGAAAAGGGTGCACCTCATCTCAGCTGGCACTCGCTTGGGTTCATCACAAAGGAGATGACGTGTGCCCAATACCTGGGACTACTAAAGTGGATAACTTTAACCAGAATATTGGAGCTCTTTCTGTGAAATTAAGTCCCCAAGAGATGACTGAACTCGAGTCCTATGCTTCAGCGGAGGTCGTAAAAGGAGACAGGCATGCTTTCATGGCAACAACTTGGATCAATTCAGAGACTCCTCTGTTATCCTCTTGGAAACCTCTCTGAGATTTTTCTACTTAATTTCTAGTATTCATGCATAGGTGTCTACTAGTTGTTAGTTCCAAGTTTTGAGGACTTGTTAAATTTTTAATTTTCTTTAAATAATGAAGTTATTTTGAATAAAGTAGATTGAATGCATGATTTTGAGTTTGAAAATAAATAATATTTAAAATATAATGATTAAAATTGATGTGATATAAAAGAAAGAAATAGATTTTATTAGAAATAACATATTGTTAAATTATGTGAGTAGGTGAATAATGAATTAAAATTAATATGATATGTGAGAATGATTGATTGATATTATTTAATTATATTTATAAAAAGTAGGAGAGTTGAATTGAATAGTATTTTGAGTTATGTGATTGAATATAAAATAATTCACTCACTCATATTCAATTACGCCCTTAGTCTTTTATTAAACACGATAATTGGTGGGCTCCCATTCTTCTCATTTTCCTTTCATTTTGCAACATCTAGTGGGGAGTCAGATTCAAAACAATTAAACAAACAAATAAAGATAGAGACTCCTTTAATAATTTTAGGAGCTCATTGGAGAACAAAAAATAGGACGTGATGGAGTAATTTCACTTAATTTGGCTTTCCTAGCCAGGTAGCTTTGGGGAAGGTCTTACATAAATCTTAATTGATAGTTTTATGTGATTATACAGCCTTTTAATTATTTTATTAGATTTCTAAATTCTAATGATACTTTGACCAATCCGACATGCCAAATAACCCATAATCTTAATATTATATAATTAATAATCGGATATACATTTAAGTTCTAAATATATTAAAAAAAAAAGGAAAAATTACACTTTGCCTACCTAATTATCCGCCTTTTAACACTTTGCCCACTAAACTTTTTTTTGGCACTTAACCTGTATGAACTTCGCATTTTTGTGCACTTACCCACTTCCGGCCATCGGAGTTCCGAAATAAGGGTATAGTCGTCTTTGACAGGATACACAACGGGCAAAATCGTCCTCACATACAAAAAATCTTATTCAAATTCGAAACCCCTAATTTCTTTTCTCCAAATCGTCCGTCTCGTTTGCAGAGGAAGAGAGAAATAATGGCGACCATGGGCTCCCAGGTGACCGGCAATGGAGACTTCTGCACTTGTGAGAAAAGGGCCGTAATGAAGACCTCGTGGACAGACCATAATCCGGGAAGAAGATATGCCGCTTGTGAAAAACCTCGGGTAATTTTAGGCTATAATTCAAAAAATTTACCCTATTTTGCAATAGATGTTGTTCTATGCTAATTATCCAGACCATTAGAAGGTGCAATTACTTCTTCTTGATGATTAATTTTGTTAATTTAGAACCCTAAATTTCTCTCCTAATTTGTAACCCTGATTTTTAATTCGTAACCCTAATTTTGTTAATTACTTCTTTTTAATTTGTAACCCTAAGTGATTGATTTTTTTAATTGATTGATAATCGAACCATTGGAGTATGCAACTCAATTTGCAGCCCTGAAATTTTTCCCTAATTTCCAACCCTGAAACCCTAATATTCAACCCCAAAATTTTCCCCTAATCTGGAATCCTATTTTTTTCCCTTAATTGATCAACAACCTTATTTGATTGATTTGTTCAATTCAATTGATTGATAATTATTCAGGCCTTTGGAGGATGCAATTACTTCTCTTGGATTGACCCTCCAATGTGCCCGAGATCTCGACAAATTATTCCAGGGCTTCTGAGACGTGTTAATAGGCTTGAAGATGAGTTGGCTACAAAGAAGTCTAGGGAGAAGTGGCTTTGGGGAATGATGGTTCTTTCTTGGTTGATCATGTTCTTTGTCAAATGGTGATATAACCATTTTATGTTTATGTTTCAATTTGTTAGGGTGATTGTTGTTGTTATTGGCTAAGTCTCATTTTCCATTTCTATTGTTGGTTGAAACTTAAGTTTGTAAGACATTTGGTAGGGTGGTTGTTAATTTTGCTAAGTCCCATTTTCAATTGTTGGCTGAAACTTAGTCATTTGTTATGTTTTGTAAGACATTTAGTCTAGTCTATGTCTCTTTATGTAACATTAGCCATTTGTGCTTTCATGAATGAATGAAAAAATATTTTGGTTGTGCTTATGTGTGTGCGGGAAATGGACTGGACATTCTATTACAACAACCAAATGGATACAAGTATGTTGCAAATGTATGCATGCAAAAATAACAAAGGTACTCACCTGTACAATATTTGTTCCCAACTTGACACTATCAACATATAACCAGATGGACATAAACATATTAAATGAAAATGAAAATGAAATCAATATCATTTCCCATTCCAAACAAAGGGTATAACAAAGGGCATATCCAAACATAATGAAATGAAATTCAATATTTCTTCAAATCAGAAATCCTTAATTTGTTCAAAAAAGCAAAGCATAACACCTAAATTGTCAATACAAACACACAAGACCACCTTAGAATATTCCCATACCAACACAAAACCTCAATCTGTTCCAATCTCAATCTATTCAAATAAAAACTGACCATTTCAGAATGTCAATACATGGCATTACAAACTTTCCAGACCAACCAAACTCCAAACAACAAATATTCTAGTCTTGAGAGTATGCAACCCTTTTTCTTGTGGAAAATCTCACACCATCAAGCATGCTGCTCCTTCCTTGTGGCCTAACAGGTTGTGTAAGAGCTTGTGGCTTTTCACCAACAAGACCTTGTAGCCTCAAGCTCCTTTTCACTGGCAACTTAGCTTTGACACCATCATTTCCAGCAATGACTATTTCTTTTCCTTTTCCCTACACATTTACAATAACAATATTGAATTTAGCATATACATGTTTGTTTATGGCAAATGTGGAAAGTAAATATCATACATTTCCTGGATTTTGTGAGGATTCTCCAACTTTGTTGTGTTTACCCTGCACAAAACCAAAGATTAAAAAGAAAAAAGGAATAAAAACCCACAGTTGGTGCTTGTGAGGATCCTTTGTGAATAAAAAACCATACCTTTTTTGCTGGCTCTTGTGAGGATCCTCCAGCTTTGATGCTTTTTTCCTGCACAAAAACAAAACAAAAAATACCAAAAATAATGAAAAGTCACCTTTGGTTCAACCTACTTCAGTTTAACCAAATACCAAAAAAGAATGAAAAGGAAATCTTATACCTTTTGTGGCCTTATCTCTGAGACTCCTTCAACTCTTTGGGCTTTCTCCTACAACACATTAACAACAAAACAAAACAAATTTAATATATAGTTACTTAATGATAACGGCTGATGACAAGAACATATTGAGAAAAGAAAGAACATCAATTTTACCTTCAGTCTAGGACTCTTCCTTATGCTCTGCAAATCATTCCCTTCAAAGTTGGATTTGCTAGGACTCTTTCTCTTTCTCTGCAAATAAACATGAGATTAGTAAAGATACTACATGGTTGAATAAGTGGCAACATTAATTTTCATCTAAGTACCTTCTTTGCAGTTGATTCTGTTTGAACTGGAGCAGGCACATCATTTCTCTTATTTTTGTGGCAACCCCTTGAATTGTGGTTTGGTTGCTTGCAGATTGAACATCTCATTGTCACACCTTTCTTGCTCAATCTCACCTGATTAGGTGTAGCATCATTTTTAGATTGCTCACTAACATGTTTTCCATTGATCTCATCTGTTCCCATCTTCCTCTGATACTTCTTTGGTCTTCCTGGCATTTTTTCAATGCTAGGTGGTAGCAATGGTGGAAGATCCACTTCTGGCCATTCATCTTGTCCATTTAGTGCTCCCATCAAATGACTGTAGACCCTTAAGTATGTCTCCTTTTTGTAACAGTCATCAACAAAATCCTCAGGATTTTGGCCTAAATAAAATATTCCTGATATTGCATGGGGGCATGGAATTCCTGATAACTGCCACTTCCTACAACTGCAAGATTTCTCGCCAACATCAACCTTAAACCTACTCCCAGTCATGGTCTCTATTTCAAATTGATCCCTCCCATTCCAATGTGCAATGAACTCCATACTAGTTTTCTTCATTTCATCAAGCAACTTCACTATCCTAGGACAAAGTTCTCCATGATATTTACTCATCTTGTCTCTTTTCAGATGGATATTCTTCATTAGGTAAGTCCTAATCAGTTCTAACATCATTACAATGGACTCACCTCTTGCTTTCACAATCACAGAATTGAAAGTCTCTGAGAGATTGTTCAAAAGTGCATCACACTTTGAATGTGTGCTAAAATGAGATCTAGACCAATGTGCAGGAGGTCTTGCATTCAACCATTGGTATGCAGGTTCATCTCTCTCTTTGATCTCAGTCATCACCCTCTGAAAATCCTGCACTCTAGATGCCCTAGCAGCTTTCCATAACAACTTTTTCAATGCAAGCCCTTTATGTTGGGCTTTGAAATTCTGGTACAAGTGTTGAACACAAAATCTGTGTTCACTACCAGGCAAAAGGGTTTCAACAGCTTCAATCAAACCCTTTTGCTTGTCAGACATGAATGTCCAATGGTAAGGGTTTCTGATATTTAAGTCTTCTATCAGAAAATGTAAAAACCAACTCCATGACTTCTTCTTTTCCTTTTCTACCACAGCATAAGCAAATGGGAACATCCCATTATTTGGATCTATGCCAACTGCAGTTAAAAGGACCCCACCCATTGAAGTTTTCAAATGACAACCATCAAGAAATACAACAGGCCTACATCCATCCAATAAACCATCTCTAAGTGCACCCCAACAAATGTACATTCTTTTAAAAAGTGTTTTATCACCTACCCTTCTACACTTTATCTTCACTATGGTATTAGGATTTGATAACCTAATTTCACTGGCATAAGACCACAACAATGCATATTGCTCAGGATTAGCCCCAGATCCACTAGTCAACACTTTTTTTTTTAGCTCTATAGAGTTGACTTTTATTGAAAAGAAGCTTGTGTTCCCCTTGCACTATCTTCCTCATGGACTCCACAGGCCACTTGGGATCAGTCCATATTTTCTCTCTATATGTATCAGCTAGCCACCTAGAGTTTGCATGAGAAACCCTCTGTTTTCTAGGACATTTATGCTTGGGGTCATACTTTCTCAACTGAACACTATCCTCATCAGGTAACTTAGCAGCATACATAATCCAAGGACAAGTTGTGTGCTTACATTTAACTTGTACCTTGGTTCTCTCATTAATGCTAAAAACCACATCCTTCCCATTCTTAATAGCATGCTGTCTAACTGCTTTCCTAAACAAGTTCATGTCTGTAAAAAACATGCCTAACTCAAAAATAGGGTTTGAAATGTCTGATTTCTCATTGAAAACATTATGAGCCTTATGTTTATCCTTTGTTTGGCTGCCTATGGACTCAACATGGGGTCTGCACACACCCTCAGACCTACCTGAACTTAAGCCCCCAAACTCAACATCACTATCAATGTTTTCATCAAACATAATATCATCATCATCAGCATAAACATCACAATCACTATCTATGAAAACATCAGAGTGACTAGAATCTGAACCCCAAGACTGAACATCATCACTATCATTGCTCATACATTCATCAATCAAACCATTAACAATATCATTCTCAGGATCCCTAAGGTCATTTGTTTCCATGCCTTCATCACAATCACCAACATAATTCAAAGGTTCATTAATATGAGGAAAAGTAGAGGTTTCATGATTGTTCTTTGTAGTTTCATGCTCCACATATAAACCCACCAACCTACTATCATTCACCATTTGCCCCATTTTGAGTACATCACTATCATTATTCAAGATAAGCAAATTAGTGCAGTCACTCACATCTCCTTGTGTGCAGTGAAGTTGTTTCACTTCATTAACACCTAACTCTTCTAGCATACTCATAATCTCAATTAAAGATATTTCATCAGGATGGCAATAGTCAATATATGCAACCTCACCTGCCAAGTAGTACTTATTTCCTAAATTCAGAAATTCCCCAGAATGATAAACTCTGATTGTGAACATCTCAGATTGGGGACCTGTTGAAAAATAAAAAAGCAAAGGAATGAACACATATTACGGACATGTTCAACTCTTCTGCAATACCAAAAAAATCTCATTTTTCTACCCATTGAACATATAAAGAAGTAATAAACACAGATTACGAACCAATGAATAACGAACTAGAGCACCAGTGTCGTCCCAAAGAAAAAAAAATGAATGAAAAAAGAAGAACAAATTACGAACTCACCGTAATCTGGGCAACAACTTCCAGGCGGTATATCTTCATCATCGGGTGCACGTACTTTCCATGACATTGTTCAATATTTGCTACGCTTGAAAGATTTTCGACAGAATGAACTTTCTTTGGAGATTAGGGTTAGGGCAGAATTTGGGAATTGAGAGAATTTGAAAATTGGGGAACGATCGATTTGGGGATTTTAGGTTTTAATTAGAAAAACAACTTAAAATGTCTGTTATGCCCCCGTACGCGTAGTCGTCATTGCCACGTGTTGGACTAATATGAACTCCGATGGCCGGAAGTGGGTAAGTGCACAAAAATGCGAAGTTCATACAGGTTAAGTGCCAAAAAAAAAAGTTTAGTGGGCAAAGTGTTAAAAGGCGGATAGTAAGGTAGGCAAAGTGTAATTTTTCTTAAAAAAAAATTAAAAAAATCAACCTACTTCGCGGGCTCAAATGTAATGGCAAATAACAAAAATATATTTGATCGCACTTCGCAGCAAATAAAAGGACAAAAACGGTTTCTGATTCTCCGCACAGCAAATAAAACGGCACTATTCATGATATGAACGCGCTGCTGCTGGAACTGTTTAAGGATAAACTTTGTGTATGACGTCACTGCTCGCGACGATGGGGAGCCTAATCTTTGTTTCCATTTTTATTACCCCGACCGAGCAGTGCCGCGCGTGCAAATTACCTTCCGAAGATCTCTATCCTTTGGTCAATCAATTTTGCTTTCTGGAATATGCCCGCCAGCACACTATAAAAACATGTCATACAATTGTGAAGACAAATACGCCAATAACTCCACTCTATAGAAAGAAAAAGAAAATTGAGTGAGAGAGAGAGAGAAGGAGAAAATGGCAGTGACTGTGCCGAGGATGAAGCTGGGTGCGCAGGGTCTTGAGGTTTCCAAACAAGGGCTGGGCTGCATGGGTATGTCCTATATGTACGGCTCGCCCAAGCCCGAGCCGGACATGATTCAGCTCATCCACCATGCCATCAACTCCGGCGTCACATTCCTGGACACCTCCGATTACTACGGGCCCCACACCAATGAAATCCTCATTGGCAAGGTCTGCCAATTTTGCAAAATCCCTTTTCTTCCGTACCTTTTATGTGTACTCNTTTTTTTTTTTCTGATTATTCCGCAGAGGTGAAAATTGAATGGTTAATTACCATAATAATCGGTTAGAACCTTGGTGGACTTGTACAGCAGTTAGGGATCTGTCACAGTTCATTTGGAACTTTTTTGATAGTTATGTAAATATATATTGTTAATTTGTATGCAGGTGCGGGTTTATCTTTCAATTTCTTTTCCATGGTTGATGTACTTGTAAGTGTTTCCTGATGAAATTTGTTCTGTGCTTACAATTATTGTTTAGAATATTTGTAAGTTTCAGTATTTCAACTGGGCTTGTTAGTTAATTAGTATTAGCTATTGGTTAGTTTCTCAGAATTATTAGTCAGCTTGTTGAAAGTTGAGCAATTTTGGCTCACTTGTTTTATTTTGTAAGTAGGAGTCTTCTGTTGTAATTTGTCTGTTTGCAGTGAATGAAATCATAATCCCAAATTATTTCTCTTCACTTTTTTAACATTTTCTCTAAGTTCTGCTTATAGTTTCTGATGTTGTTAGATGTACTCAATTACTCTTCTGCTGGAGTTTTGATATAGGCTCTGAAAGGAATCGCGAGAGACAAAGTGCAAATAGCTACCAAGTTTGGAATAACAATAAAGGACGGGAAGAACGAGATAAGAGGTGACCCGGCATATGTGAGGGCATCATGTGAGGCAAGCTTGAAGCGTCTCGACATTGACTGCATCGATCTCTATTATGCTCACCGTATTGACACTCATGTGCCTATTGAAGTCACGGTATAGTCTCTTCCAGCACAAGTATCTGTTTTCTAGCTAATGATTTGAAGAACTTTAGAGAATTGTGTTGATAGGCGTCCACGTTACTTTTGAATGAATTTTAGCTGGAGTTGTGTTAATTTTGACATAAATTCATAAAATATATCAGCGGGTTAGTTTATCCTTTAATGTATGGAGTGGTATGTCCACTGTTTAGGTTAGAGCATTCTACTTCTTTCTTTGAAGAGAAAGTAATTGTTTGGTTGATCAATTGGTTCTTATAAAGCAGCATGTTGCAGAACATGGTGGACTGTCCCTAAGTTACTTTGAACTAGACTATTGATTAGTCTTGGAAAAATGCATACAGTAAAAAAAAATAACTTAATACCATGGCATGTTACCATTATAAATTTCAGAATTTTATTTCTTCATCTATTGTCATGCTAAAAAATGTATGCTAGCGATGTTGGGCTACGTCATCACCTCTTTTTTTTGCTTAGCCATGCCTAACTGAAGCAACGTAGTAACATCTTAAAGTAAACTATAGTTACATTGGTTCCGTTGGATTATAATTTTGCTTTTATTTCATTTTTCCTGTTTCATGCATTTTAAGATGGGTGAACTGAAGAAACTCGTTGAAGAAGGGAAAATAAAATATGTTGGGCTATCAGAAGCTTCTCCTTCAACAATCAGAAGGGCACATGCTGTTCATCCGTTAACTGCTGTTCAAAACGAGTGGTCATTGTGGTCAAGGGATTTAGAAGATGAAATAATACCTACTTGCAGGTAAAAACCTTTTTGCTTTCCCTTTTCTGTATTCTAGAACATGAGAATAATAAGACCTGCTTATCCTGTGCATTTCAGAGAACTTGGTATTGGAATTGTCCCATACAGTCCTCTTGGTCGTGGTTTCTTTACCTCGGGTGCAAATTTGATACAAAATTTGGGAGAAGGTGATTCTCGAAAGGTTGGTGATAAACCTATAATTTGTGACTTTTACTTAAATGGACAAACTTGTTAATTGTTCTGTAAACTCCAAGGTCATCTTTTCCATTGCTCTCGAATGGTTCTAGTCATGACACTTTCATCAGCTTACTGATGTTGAGAGTTGAGGCTGTTGGTTATATTTTGTGCTGTGGCCAAAATTCAAATGCTAATTGCTCTTCTTAGTTACAACCATACAAAGAGTGATATTATTGAACAAGATAGACAAATGAAATAATGGATGGACAATTTTTTCTTGTTTTAATATGTTGATAAGATAAGATTACACTTATAGTAAATTGTGAAGGCTCAGTTGGGAGATATGTGTAAAGTCGAGTCCCCAATTAATGATGTCACCTGGATGATAGATGAGGGCTAGGTTTACTAACTCACTCTTTGATAGTGTAATAAGGTAATTATCTTTCCAGTTATTGTCCTACCCCATCTAGATGAAAAAGAAGGTTGGGATCTTGCTTTGAAAACTAATGGTTTTTAAATGGAAATTTATCAAGTCTCCCCACTATTGGTGCATTAGATAATTAAATTAATTAAGTATTTCAGTTTACTAGTGAGAAGTGACCATATTTTCTACTAATGTATTGCAAATTATTTTTCAATCTAAGTACACACTCCTGTTTTAATGTATGTATAAAGTGTATTTTTTGTTAAAAAAATACACTCTGCAGTGACATGTTCTCTTTGCAGGAACTTACTCATAAAAATAACCTGAAGTTTCTATGAGCATTCCTTCATATCTCTCGTAATATGTACTATATTTTAATGTCCGGTATTGTGGTAAGTCAGAAAGATGGTTCGTGAAGATGGATCGAAATATCCCTGTTTCATTTCATTCATGTGGCTAGGCATATTTCCATTTTCAAATTGGCGAGCTTTCTTTTTCATTTTTTCAGTCAATAATACTGATACAAAAGTTGACATTTTTGTTTACAGAGTTTTCCGAGGTTCAGGCCAGAGAACCTCGAAAACAACAAGCTGATATTCGAAAGGGTAACTGAAATGGCTAAAAGAAAAGGGTGCACCTCATCTCAGCTGGCGCTTGCTTGGGTTCATCACCAAGGAGATGACGTGTGCCCCATTCCAGGGACTACTAAAGTGAACAACTTTAACCAGAATATTGGAGCTCTTTGTGTGAAACTAACTCCCCAAGAGATGGCTGAACTTGAGTCCTATGCTTCAGCCGAGGTTGTCAAAGGAGACAGGCATGTTGTCATGGCAACGACTTGGATACATTCAGAGACTCCTCCTTTGTCTTCTTGGAAAGGTGACCAGTGAGTTGCTATACTTGTTTGAATGAATGATAGAAGGAACTCTTACCCCAGTTTCATCTGTACTATGTAATAATGTATATATGTTGTGTTACATTCTGTACACGAGTTTCTTCCAATTTCCGGTCACTCGCTATGTAATGCTGTGTTGGAAAAATAATGCATATGTAAGTTGCCATCAGTACTTTCTATAAAGGGGCAGTGTATATGTATTCTGTCTTGGCATCACTACATTTCACCACTGGTTTCTCCACAGCTTTTTTCCCTTTCTGTTTCATATAGTGTTTAATAACACCTTCCGTGATATTTTGCGTTAGCCATCACTACATTTCACTTTGTTTTTACCTCCTCTTTGTTCCTTCTACAAGAGTGACAGTGCTGTTTTGTTGCACAGGAGCATTATACATTCCACTATGGGCCAGTTTTTATTAATTGGGCGTGATTAATTCCCACAACAAATTTAGGTGTTATCTTTTATAGAAGATGTCTAATAACTTGTTTGGTTGATTGGTTGATGACTGATAATTATAACCTTTAAGCATAGATTACTTTTTGGTTAATTTACATATAAAATATTGCATTCTATTTATTTTGGCTAGTTTATATATAGTTTAAAAAAGTTCATATTATGAGATCTAGTGGCATGACTAATAAACTTTATGTATATAAATGGTGTATGGGGTAATTTTTTCTTATTTTTTCGCCTTCATTTTAAATTAATTTTCAAATAATCCAAAAGTCAGATTTCTTCTTCCATGAAATTGCAAATTTCAGAGAGCAATTACAAGTTCTTCAACCTATTTAACATTTCTACAATTCTTTTTCTCTCCTCAATTTGGAAATTACACTCACAATATTTTTTTTTTTCTTTCTTAAAAATTGTCAGCGAAATAACCAACCAGCTGATTAGAAAAAGAGCACAAAATGATCTTGTGGAAAAAAATGTGTCAAGAGTTTATGGTCAAGAAGTTTAAGGGCCGCCGCGAGTGGGGGAAGTGAGGATCTCGTCGAGATCTGGCCTAGGTGTAAAGTGCAGTGTCGGATGCCAAATTGGCTATCTACATAGGGTTAGAATTCAGTTAAGAATTTTCGCCATCTAACAGAGGACATATTCGCTTCAGACAAAGGCAATAGTCTCACTTTATCTGCCTCAATCCTTATAACAAAGGACTATACTCCAACACACTTCAAATTTTTTCTTTTTACTATGGAATTCTCACTCTTGCGCTTTTGGTTTTTAAATTATCTTCCATCCTTCATAGTATGAAACATTTTACACCTACAAGTTAATTTTTTTCACACGACATCAATAAATTTAATAGTAAACATTGTAAGATGAATATGTCTCCCACTTTTTGAGTGAAAAATATGGGGTGAAAAATGAAAAATTAAATATGCAACAATTATATACAACACATAAATTAAATATGCAACATTTTGACTATAAAATTAAATATTCAACAATTATATACGGCCCATTTTACTCTCTGAATTGACTAGAAAATTAAATATACAACAATTATACAGCCCATCTCTCTCCAAATAAAAAATTCTCCCACTTTTTGAATGAAAAATTAAATCAAATTATGCAGCCCATTCCACTCTCCCACTTTTTGAATGAAAAAAAGCTCGAAATCTAGAGAGAGAGGGTGTGGGGCGTTATTCACGTGTGAATAGGATTGGGATTCTCTTCTCATGAGCTTAATGATGTATATATAGAGCTACAGTAGGGACCCTAAGGAGATTAGGAAAATGGCTCCTTAATTAATTAGACTAACTAAGGGTCAAACTCACTCCTCTAATTAATTAAATAATATTAATGGGCCACCAACATTATATTATTGCACTCCCTTTCCCTAACCCAAATTACATTTGAGACTCCAATAATAATTACTCGATTTACCTCCCCACGTTTAATATATAATGTCCATTAACTAATTCGATTACTGACAATTAATAATTAATTAATTTATTATTATTTCACCGAAGCTAGTGCTCGTTCATCACATTTTTATTATGCCGGAATTTAATCCATCTGCAGGGTTTAGCATAACAATCCTTCATGAACTCACTCCGGGGACATCATCAAACTAACGCACATGGTGACCGTAAATATCCTAACAGCACATCCTATATATAATAATATTACCCAAAACAGTAGGAATATTAATCCAGCGAACTGAACCTCACCCATGTGAATCAAAGTAATATATATTATATATATCTGCCTGTTTAATATCTTACGGGTTAAGAGAACGCAGTAATTAACCGAGGCCTAGTTCATTCACGACGATCAGTATAAAATGAACTTCTCCTCTCTAGGATCCTGTTCAATACATAAATGTACTAGTGCAATTAATCAGTCAAGACAAACAGTACAGTTGACACTACAACCGTGCGGATGGGGTGTTCATATCCATCTAGGTTGTGAACAATTATTCTTGTTCGCAAGTAACTTATTCGGTTCGTCGATAACGACCCACCCTATCTAAGTGCAGAACAACAGAACGTAGAACTTGTTTAATCTAACATGATTCTCATTCATAAAGGGTAAATGTGTAATAACATGCAAAGCCAAGCTTTCAGTATATAACACTAACATTGGGTGGGTCACTTTTGGCAGAAATGTTGGTCACAAGTGTTACATTATGCATTCTGATGAATGATAGCTTGTGATTGGATATTGAAACAAAAAATAATGGCTATAAAGATTTGATATTATATTGGGAGATATATATAAAATTAAAATCACGACCTCCAATCATTTGTGAAATGAACCAAGATTACAAGCATTATGAACAACTACTAACCACATGTTGTGTTTTATTTTAAAACACTTTTTTAAAACATTTTTTTACATATAACACCAATAAATCACTTCCTCCCAAATAGAAAAGCTAGGAATAAAATACAATGAAATTAAACAGGATTGGGTTTCAAACAGGTATAAACATTAGACCTGGAAAATGAGTATTCAGAAAGGTCTACAAGGATGATTTTATGGGCCGACTCAATCTTTCAACATTTTTCTATTTTTCTTTATATTTTTCCTTTTTTTATTTGTGTGGTGGTTGTTGTGGAAGCTAAATTATTTAACACTTTTACAACTCAAAATTTTGGCAAAACATTTATCACTTATCTTAAATAACTTAACAACCAAAAAGGAATTCTAAAGCAACTCTATTCTGTTATTCAAGATATTCAGAAGTCTATATATATATATATATATATAATTACTAGCTCAAAACATTTAATAAAACCTATTTAATTTTACCTATGTGGCAATTTAACAATTTTCCCTCCAAAAACCGTTACATTTTGATGTATTTAATCTTTCATTTAATCATTAAATAATTAATACTCATCACTTCAAAATTACAAAAATTATTTTAAATTTTTTATTAATGACAGTTGACCATATAATGTGTTGACCGTATAATGTGATTAGATGTTATTATTGTTGTTACATTTAATTTTTTTTTTAAATAAAAAATATATTTGAAATTCCTAAATAAATAATAAATAATTCACAAATAAAAGACGTGCCAAAATATACATTACATCCAGTCAGATAAACGCAATTTAAAAAAAAAATATTCCAACTCTTTTAATTGTAAATTTGGTCTGCAAAAAAGTGAAAGAAAAATAATTAATCATTATATGCATACAGACTCACAATAATTTATTTGTATCTGTGCAAATGCACAGGTCGAATACTAGTTAGTAATGATAATGATAGATCTCTTTGTTGAGGGACCATAAAAAGAAAAATAATAATAATAACAATAATAATAATAATAATAATAATAATAATAATAATAATAGCACCACTTCTAAAGAAAAACCAAAAAGTTCAGATACAATTAGTTGCATTCACATGTCATTTTGAAGCTCTCGGGCGCGATAAATCATATACTATTTCAAAATGATATATGGTTTATTATGACCTACCAATAGAGGAGGTGGAGACAACAGGAGGTGGAGACAATTAATTTATAAGGATTTTAAACTAGAAGTTATTAATTTTAAAGAAGTTTCGATCAATATTGACTAAATTGAAGATTTTGTTTACAAAAAATAAAATTGAAAGGGAATTATTCATTTAGAATTTTGAGTTACATTTTTTATACTTTTTAAAACTCAAGACTAATTATTTGTTGATTTTAGTGAAATACTTAGAAATTTTAGATCTAAATATGACATTTGGTGTTAGGATTGACATATAGTTCGTGTTTCAAATTTAAATAACTCTTAAAATATTTTCACGGATATCTGTATTAAATAAGTGTAAGATTTTTTAAAACCTCAAATGAATTTTTGAAGACTTTTAAAAGTCATAAATATAAAATAATTTAAATACACCAAATTTATAAAATCCCAAAATAATTTGAAAATTCTAAACGAATATAAATACTTTGGATTCAAATATTAAATTTAAAATTCAATTTAAGTACACCAAGAAATAAATTAAAAAAAAAAGTCCAAACGAATATAAAATATACTTTGGATTCGGATATTAAAATAAAAAACTTCTCAAGGTACCTCTACCTCCAATTTAGATGAACTTAGTTTTGAATTTGATTCGTATCGTTATCTTTAAATTTTGAATTGAAATAATAATTTTTCTGGTGAAATTATTTTCCTCGAGTGATTGATAGCCGAACAGGGCTCACTTTGCTTGATCAGTTTGTGAAAAATTTCGACGAATTCTGTTGAATTTCACGAAAAACGAAGATGTGTCGATAATATCGGGACAAAAAATAATATCATTATTGATCAATATGGACATAAAACAAATGAAGAATGAGCAAATTGAAGGGGAGGAAAAGGAGAAAAAGCAAAGCCGTCTTCTTTTTTTATCTCCTTATATTTTTAAATGTGTTGAAAATTATAATCCTCTTGAAATAATAATTTTTTGGTTGGTTAGATTATATTCCTCGAGTGATTGATAGGCAAACAGGGTTATCTTTACTTGATCAATCTATAAATTCTTATGATTTCCTTTGAATTGTACGAAAAATGAAGATGCCGTGTCATATGTTGAAAAAAGTTCATTCTTGAATGAGCAAGTTTATTAAATTAAAGACCTGTACTCGAAAACATAGTAACGATTCAAAAGGAAAAGAAGCACGAGCATGAATGAGAGTTTCGTAGAAAAAGCCAGCACTACATAAATATCACGTACAAGTCCAAAAAAAAAAAAAAAAATTGTTGGTAGCAAATATGATACAAGTTCGTCACAAGGAATTTCTCAGCTAATGGAGTCGGATCTTGATTTCTCCTTTTGGAATTGCAGCACGAACGAGCCTCAAAATCTAGTGGTGAGGGTTTTGCAAATTGATCTGATAGTTTGATGCAGCAACCTCCCACAAGAGATGCCCCTGCCTCACACCATTTGTTTACATACGAAACAAAATCTTTGTCCGAAACTCCCAGAAAATTGAGTTTAACTAAATGACAAAAAGAAAAAAAAACAAAAAAAAGGAAAGAAAGGAAAAGCTAAAGAACTCACCACCCACTCCTTCAGATCAGCATCATAACTCTCTCCACTGTTTGGGTAAATGAGTATCGATTTATTCGTAAAAATCAAGTCAAGTGAAAAAAAACTCGAATTGCTTTACCAGAGTTTGTCCAGAATTCACATTAAAGTTGAGTAAGTAACGTTAAGGTGGTGTTTAACTAGCTGCATCTTATAACACATTTAAACGTGCAATCAATTTTGGCAGTTCTTCACCTTTTTTTGTGCCTTTTGTCATTATCAACCTATGTTAATAATATGTGTTGTAGCAAATTATTTTATTTTTTTACCGTGTACCAAATCGAAGGATTCGTTACCCGAGTCGATCTCTCGAGGAAGACTGTTCAGAATTTAGCGTTGGTCTTGATCACACACGAAAAGAAAATAAGTACTAAACACTCCAATCACGATTGATTTGGGGAATCAACTAAAACAATCTAGAACTAGAAAAACAATTTAAAGAAATAACAATTAAATTTCCAGAGAAAAAGAAAAAGGTCTAGGGGTCGGGAAATCTCATCAAGTCTTAAACTATGTTGAACGCTTATTTGTTCGGTTACGAGATTAAACAAGCCTACACGTCTAGAGGGCTATGCTCAATAACTCTTCGTAACAAGAGCACAAACATAAACGATAAATTCATTCAAACAAGCAACACATAGACAATACTTTTACGAACATGTCTACTCTATACGAGCCTAAATCGACCGACGTCTCCCCTCTCGGTTCTAAACGTCGATTAACTAGGTTAGAATGGTGATCAATCAACTAACCATATAATTCACACAACTCGTATAGATTGAACAAAACACATTCCTCATAATTCAAAACAAGAATCAAAATCCCTAACCCTAGGTGAATGGATTACCTCATGCTTAGATTCAATTTCATGTTAACCGGAATTAAGAACATAAAACCAATCAACAATAATAAAATAGAATTGAAAAACTTACAATCGGATTAAGAGTTGCAAGATTTCAATCCAAATAACTTTGTGTCCAACAATCCAAGCATGAGAGAAAAAAAGAAAAGCGGAGAAATTTATCCTAACAATATTGAGTTTTTGGAGAGAAAAATTGAAAGGAACGATATTGGGGATTGTTCCCATGAGTCTAAGGATCGTTTTGATATATAGTGCGCGAAAAACGGAGCTAAAACGAGTAAAAACGGAGAAAAATAAAAACAGGGTCGAACAGGTCGCGACTCGCGAGTCAACTCGCGAGAGTCTGACGGGTCGTGGGGTCGCGCAGCTGGTAGGAGGCTCTGTTAAAGTCGCGAGTCGCGACTTTGCTCTCGCGAGTCGCGACGTAGGCTCGGGAGTCGCGACTTTGGACTGCACTGCGCCATTTTACGTTTCGGGCTCGTTTGGGCTTATCCGAACTCAGAATTGAGTTCCGTTTTTTGCTACGCGTCACTAACGAACCCATTTATCCAATTGTGCTCTCGAAATTAACTTTTCTTGAAGATAAAATTCCCCCGAAGCTCCCGACCTACACACCAAAAACGACAAAACACGAAGAAAACCGGAAAAACAAACGAAAAAACACCTAAAGACTCAAAATAAAGAAAAACACATAATAAAACACGAAACAAACTAAAACGAAGGAAACAATCTAAAACGGGGGATAAAGAAAAGCAAAAAGAGCACGAAAAATGCAACAAAAATAGGACAAACAATATGTTATCTCAATTTCATAAACAGAAATCTTACTTTCTTAATCGATAAAATAAGATCCATGATAAATCTGCAACAATTTTGTTGGATGACTCAGCAATGGCAGTGCAGTCGAGCAAAGAATCACCACTAACAACATACGTTAACACCATCTTTCGAGTTGAATGACAGCCATGCGGGAATATCAATCTCGTTTTCCTCGAGAAGCTCAGCAAAAGCCTTTGTCGAATATCAATCATTCAGTGACAAATAACAACTCCATTTCTTTAGCTAGATTTCAATGTTTATGTAATTGCTAATACACCATTATGATGACATCCAAGAAATATTCCACAATTTTTCCCAAAGAAAAAACAAAAAGAAAAAGGAAATACATCTGTACCTGAGCTTCAAGCTTGTTCGGCACAGTTTCAAATGCGATAAGATCAGGACCAGAATCTGCAAGGACTTTGACCCTTCTTTTATGGAAGTTCTTCAAGAACTCAAGATCCATAGCATCTCCATAATCACCACTGCATATAGAATATATATACTACATAAATTGCACAGTCTAAGCAAAATCTAAAACACAGCTTCAAATGAATAAAATAAAATAAAGTTGATCCTTCCTGATTTGATATAATCTCTTTTTTTATCTTAAGATTTGATATAATCTCTTTCTATATCTTAAGATTTGACTTGGTGGACAAGACATCATAACTTTATTAATTAAATATCTTATTAATCTTGAATTTATATTCCAAAATAAATAAAGACATTAATTAATAAAATATCAAAATTTCGATGTCTACAGTAACGACAAATTTTTTAAAATGTGATACTTTTATTTAACTTATAATTTTACTATTATACACAAGTAACTTATAAGTTATATTAATTTAAATTTCTGTGCATGAGCACATGATCAAATACTAGTAAATAAGTATATATCTAAATGCAAAATGTGATCAATCTAAATAAATCAAAAATTATTTTACTACACTTAAAGTATGTAATTCAAAATCTTAAATATTTTGGAAGACATGGGAGTTGAGGATTTTATGGACAATAATATTTGTGACAGTTTTTCAATAAATGAATGTATTTTTAATATGTCAATAATGGCCGCCCACTAGCAAAAAATGTTGTTGCCGCTAATATCTCTATCACAAATTTGGAAATTTACATACATACGTAAATAATAACGTAATATTGGGGTCAAGAGTATTAAATGTAGAGACCTACAACCGCTTTATAGATTTTATTTATTTATTTATTTCACTTTCACCATCAAGACTTATCAATAAAGAGAGAAAACAATAGTATTCATTTGCCTTATTTTTTCCACAATCTCCATAACAAAATTAGAAATAAAATATATTATTGAATATTTTTTTAAAAAAAGCAACATTTATGTAGTAAAATATTTAAAACTATCAATTATTATTTATTATTTTTATATGATATCAATTTAATCATTACATTATTATTTTACTTTCACAAGGTCAAAATAATCTCGTTTTCTCAAAAAATACCTTTCTTTTTTTTTTCTTTTTTTTCCCAGTTTTCCATCTATAGTTTCAAGCAGGATAAATATTTATGAAGATTTCTAATATCCACCCGATAATAACTAATACTTATTATATATTTTTTTGTTTGTGGGTAAAAAAAGAGCTGCTTGACTTTGTAACAATGGCACTTTTCCTACACGTATTAGTTTAAAAGCCAGAAATAAAGTCTAGCTTTCACGTGAGATTAGTTGACTAATCACGTGAGATTGGTTGACTAATCTCTCACGCGGAACATTTCGATCATCCGTCTATTTTTTATGGACAAACTACTAAAGAAAATAGTACCTCCTTTTTTTTTCTTTTCATATTTCCAGATTATAGTCATAACTATATTTGTGGGAGATAGCAGGCAAGTAGACCAAAATATACTTTAGTAAATATTCAATTGGTATAACTAATACTTTAGTGAACATTTAGATCATCCATCCATTTTTTTTTTAATCTTTAGAATTGGTATAACCACAGTTCTTGGTGTTAAGAAAATACCTCAAATAAGTGAAATTTCAAATATATAATAACAACAAAAAAGAACTGTACAAGCGCGCGTTTACTCTAAAGATAATTAGAACAAAAATAAAAAAAAAAAGAGAGAAAAAACAAGAAAGTCCCCACAAATTCTTTAAATAATAAAATTTAACTAGCCTAATAGTTAGACACTCATACATTTTTTCTTACATATGTTAAAATATCATATCCTAAACAAATATAAATGAAATTATATCATTTCATAACATAATATTTATTTTATTAGAACAAATGTATGAGTGTCTAAAATATATAAAGGTTCTCCAATCAGAACAATATTCAACCAAGTGGCAAAATTTGTAGCAAATAAATTGATATCACACCTATATATTGTTTTGTTCATTAAAGGGAAATTGTGCTAGATCTCCAAAATAGCCTTTTTCACTATATTTGGGAACCCAATAAGCTAGTTTACAGTTTATTTGATTAGCTTATAAGGTTTATGTATTCAAATAAGTTTAATTTGGTAGAACAATTTTTTTTTTAAAAAGCTCGAACTTATCTCATAAACTTATTTGGAACCTTTCAAATAAACTAGTTGAAATTTTTATTTCAATTAGCTCATCAGCTAATTTTACCAAATACTTTTATCATGTAAGCTAACTTTTCAGCTACAACTCATAAGTTAATAAGTTATAAACTCGAAAATCACTTATAAAGTATAATCTAACTTATCAGCTATCAGCTAGCTTTATCAAACATAGTCTTATACTCACATGAGTGAACAAAACAATGAAAAACGAGAAATTAGCAACATACTAGAAAAAATAGTGAGCTAGCAAGGACTTCGTTTGATAATAATCAAAGTCAAACAAGCAAGATTTCGTCAATGTCAAGCCACCTCTCTCTGGATTATGGTTGTTCAAATACTTAAGATACATATGATCCAAAAACTTCTCATATTATGTATGATCACCATAATTCAGGCAAGTTAACAAATCCAATTAGAGACTTGACGAAACCAAAAGGGAAAAAGAAGTTCGCTTTTTTTCTCTTTATTTCTTGAACAGAAGCGAACATAAAAAAAGTTCACCCAAGAGAATTCCCAAAGAACTTTTCTGCAAACACCAGAAATTAATAGCCCCAGTAATCGTTTCTAATCTCATCATCGAACTTCTTCTTGAGCTCAGGATGCTTTGCAAAGTACTCATCGGCAGTCATAGTACTAAGCTTCGCCTGTTCACCAAAATAAGGCGTGAAAAAACCACAAAGTGAATATATAAAAGAACGAATATATATATATATGCAAGGATGCGAAAGTAGATTACCTTCAGCTCTTGAACTTCAGCAATTTCCTTTTCTAACCTTTCAGACTCCTTCCACGACTTCTCCTCAACCTCTTTCAGCTCTACCAACTGCATCTCAAGNCGCAAGATGTTGATAATAGAACAGATGGCTTTTTAACATTTATGTCCATTCTTCATATAATCATGTTTGGTGTAATACTCGAGAAGCCCTAGATCTTGTGTTACAGACCGTTCATCTATAGATCCTTTTTATTCTGTTATATTATCTAGAATAAATTACTGTAATACCACCAAAGAACTCTTCCATATATTAATATATGGTAAAGTAAGACAACAGATTTTCCCAAATTTCAAGAAAATGGTATACAACAATGTAATAGCATTCATGATTATCTCACCAGGGCATCGAACTTAGGTTTGTACTCAGGAGTGACATTGTCAACATACTGGGGAATCTTAACTTCTGCATGGATATAAATATATGCAAAGAATCAGATAATTTAGAAATCAAAGAAACTGAAAAGTAAGTTTTCAAGCTGCAACAGCGAATCAGGACTTACATCTTCCAGAGTCGATGTCTAATAATCTTACTAACAATGGCCAATGGAAGAAGTTCATATATGCAAGTGACTGACTTTACCAAAACATATAGTTACAATGATATTTGTTGAATAATTCAATTGTATGTACAAAATAAATATAAATTAAAAACTGATAATCTCAATTATTCCAAACATGATGCTACCATGTTACGTAATTTCACCATGACATGTGACAATTAGGAGATGCTCTTAATTTTGGACAGTGTAAACAGTAACATAGTCTACCCCAAAAAAAAAAAAAGAACTATTTGAGTAGGAGGAAGATACCGGTGCGTACTCAATTCATCCTTGGAATTCGAATATAACTTCGGTTTTGCCAATGTTAGCACAAGTTTACAGAACAAAAACACATCTGGCATTGTTACACTCAAGGCTACCATATTCTAGTAAATATAATAAAATTTGAAAATTTCATCAAATAACAGATATCGACAAGCTATTGTCGCAGTTGCCTGCTTCTGCACCAAAGAAGGTTTGTGTAGTTATTAAATAATATAATCTTCAGGCAAGAGACAAAGTCCAACTACAGAAGTCACTTCCCAAAATTTACAAGGAAATATGAATGAAATTGTTTTAAGGCAGACAACAGTATCCGTTGTAGGAATATAAAGCAACACCTAGCACATACCGTCATATGCTTGCTTGTACATATCAACTAAACGAGAGCCAATCCCTTTTGTGTAATAATCCCAGTCTATGGGTTCTGGTTCCTGCAAACGTAAAACAAAAGGAATATAAAAACTTTTGTCATTTAAGTTTTCCAGTCCATGCATATAAATAGTCCTAACTTACATGCCAATGGAACAGTGAAATGTTCACCAATAAGGCAAAGCGTAGAGGACACATACGTTAGACATAATAAGCATGAAACATTTCACCAATAAGGCAAAGCGTAGAGGACACATACGTTAGACATAATAAGCATGAAACAGACACAACAGTTCACAATAACAACATACAAAACCTTTGAAGAGAGTTGTACCTTAGACTTACTATGTCAATGTAATAAGCAAAAATTTGGAAAAACAAATGTTGATGGACAGAGAGGTATAGACGTATTAAGGGATCACTGAAGCCCATACAATTGCGCTTCTCAGTTTCCTTAGACTATGGAATGTACCAAATACATTGAACAATGTGATGTCGTACAACACTATGTTTCACACATCATCTCTTCATATTATACCTTTTGAAATCTTCAAAGAACTATACTATAACTTAAAAGTTAGAAATACCATTACTCTATCTATGTTCACATTTATCTTGATAATTTGCTGGTTATTTACATCAATATGGTCTCAACCACACGTTTTTCGTAAACAACTTCCCCAACCAGTCATAGTTTGTACACATGAAAAAAAAGACATTTGTATCACTTAAAACACCTCACACTGTGACAAAGCAGGTAAATGCATATCATCACATACCAATGAACATTAAACCAAACTAAAGCAGCATTGAGTAGCAACACTAACTTATTACTACTGCTTTAGTTTGGTTTAAACCAAATAGAACTACGACGACACATTGGTTTTTTATCGTCCCAAGAAGTTAGTGTTGCTAGATTTAGTTTGGTTTAGCTAATTGGTGGGGATGTGCTGATATGCATTTAGCTGCTTTGCCTTTCAAGAGAAAAACTAGAATATAATACATGACTCCTTGCTAATATTTGGGAAAGTTCTTTGTGGACAACGAAATTTTGTGAGGGTAGGACACGGTGTGGTGTGTTTAAAGTGATACAAATGTCTTTTTTTCATGTGTATAAACTAGGACTGATTGGAAACAAAACTCAACTGTTACGAAAAACTTGTGGCTGTGGCTGTGGCTGTGGCTGTGGCTGATGTAAATAACCAGCTTGTGCAAGCCTAAGAAATTAAATGTGAACATAGAGTAACGATCTATTTCTAAATAGTAATGTTTTTTTCCATAATTCAAAATGTATAAAATAAAAAGATGTCGTGTGAAACATCACCAAAAATGCTATGAAGTATTGTAAAACATCACATTGTTCGTTGTGTTTGGTACATTCCATAGTCTAAGGAACTGAGAAGCAGTTTTCTTCAATTATTTGGGCTCCAAGAATCCCTTAATACCGCTCAGTTCATCAACATTTGTTTTTTCAAATGCTTATTACATTGACATAGTAAGTCCAAGATACAACTTTTTTCAAGGGTTTTGTATGTTGTCGGAAGATAGTATTCAATTTTCACCTAGTTCACATGAGTAATTGTCTAGCACTTGGGAATGGGTAAGCTAATCGAGGAAATATAAGAAAATGTAATGCGTGAGCCGAAGAAATAAAAAACAAGAGCTTATTCCTCACTTTGACAAGAAATGTGAAACGAATCCTCAACTCAGAAACAAGAAAAGAGACCAGTAGAGATGAGCAAGAGTAGCCCATCAACAAAATGCTTATAAAATACCACTTTGGAACCACAATCATATTCTCTTCCTAATTCAGTTTTCAACTTCAGAGAAATATCACCAACTCACAACCTTAACGATTGTTAACATCCAATTCAAGTTTTTCCCTCTTCTAATTCAATTCTTGTCACAATTTCCAAATTAACAATTCAGTATATTTCCAAACTTCGCAAAACTTATACGTAACCTGTAGCTTGCATCGAAGAATGTAAGACTAGGGTGGAATGTACTCAGTCCCGATTCCACACCATTTTCACATTGACTTACTAGTAAAGCTAGATGAGGTAACCGAACCAAGAAATAAAACAAATGTAGTTTCACTAAAATTCTCTACTGGATCTGAGCTCTAGGGTGGAATGTACTCAGTCCCGATGCCACACCATTTTCACATTGACTTACTATTAAAGCTAGATGATGTAACCGAACCAAGAAACAAAACAAATGAAGTTTCACTAAAATTCTCTACTGGATCTTACAGAGCTCAAACTATCATCTCGATTACACACAATAAACTTCAACGAAAAACAACCCATAACCAAAATAATCCCCTCGATATACTTGTCATCTCTATACAGATCCAAACTCAATAAAATTCAAATTCCATAAGAAGAAACAAATCGATCAGATAACCAAATTACATCAAAACCTCCCCTCCCTCACCCTCACCACCATCCACCAGAAACCAAATGCTAAATTCAATAGATCTGTGCATCCGGCAGCCCACATATCACAAAAATAGAACCACAGACAGACACAAATGAGTGCGAAAAGCAAGAAGCAAATGAACCATTCATTTAGAAATTACAGAAAAAAAAAGGTACGGAGAATAGGAGGCTTATAGCAACGGACCTGGCTAAACTTGGTCTGAAGCTGAGAGTTGACCTCGTCGAAGGCACGGCGGAGGGTAGCGAACTCCCTGCGAGCCTCGTCGGAGACGAGCAGCTTGGCATGCCGTCCCAGTCGATGGTCCTTCCCGCCTTGAATGCCACGTCGACTACCTTCTTCCCTGTTCCGCTCAAAATTTTGAACGCGAAACACATGAAAGAACACAATACTTTCATTCAAACACCAAAATACACATAGAACACAATACTAAATCAACAACACCAGCATTATGAAATCTTTCACCTAGGAACTTCATAAGTTTAATTCCAAATACATTCGTTAATCAGAATACCAAGGCATTACCCAACATACACACAAATCCCAACAAATTTTGTCCTCCTAATGTAATATCTCTCTATAGACAAGCTCCATTAACAACTAATGAATAAGAGATACAAATAAAAAATAATAAATCAAGAACCTTTAACACAACCCTTACCGTAACATTTTCGGGCGAGCCTAACACAGTCAAGCCAGTGCAGAACCTGGGCATTGGGGTCCACCTCGACGACCACATCTGAAACAGTGATCTGAACAAAACCCCTGAATCCGGTGATTCTACCCCGTACCCTGGCCACAGCACCCACCTGAACTTGGGCGGCGAATTTCGAGGCCATTCGGGCAATAGATCGAACACCTGGCGGGCTGCGCCTGGAGAAGTAAGAGGACGTGAGCTGGTTGAGCCAGAGGATGCAGGGGATGCAGCCAGTGCCGTCGTCCACGGCGAACCGTAGGAATTTGTCGGGTTTGAGCTCGCGGGTCACGACGTACCCGACTGTTTCTGCCCGCGAGAGGGTTTTGCCGTTGATGGAGGAGGGCGATGGGTCTGTGGGTTTTGGGGTGAGCGCGAGGAAATCGGAGGCCAGGAGCTTGACGTGGGTGTTGTACAGGGCGTCCGCCATTGATATTGTTGATCGATGGGAAGAAAAAAAAAAAAAGGAATCTTGATTTGCTCTTTCTCTTGCGAAGAGGGATTTTGATTTTTTAGGGGAAAAGGTACAGTTTATGCACTAGTTAATTTGAAAAGACGAGCCGTCGAGTGCCGAATAAGGCTTTGCCGATTTGGGTGTATGTCAGAGAGAGCGGCGGGTTGAACGGTGACTATGTGCGGCGGGAGACGAAGTTAGGGCGGGGTTGTGACATGTGACTGAAAGTTCAGTATGAGTTTGAGTTTTGGTAGACGAAAGATTGAAGATGAAGAGCTGTAATGGGCTTTTTTTAAGAAAGAAAGAAAAAAAAGTAATGTAATGGGCCTGGATGGGTGGAATGCGGACTGATGCATGTGGGTTGCCTAGTGGGCATTTTATTTGCTTGCCTCAAAACATGGGTGGTGTAATATTGGGCTTTTACAACTTATACAAATCATTTCGGTTTTCGGTTCGGTTCGGTTAACCGAGCACATATATCATAACCGAACCGAAAACCGAAATTTTAAAAAATTACAAACCGAAAAGCGAACCCAATATTCGGTTTCGGTTTCGGTCCAAACCAAATTTTTTGTTTCGGTCGGTTCGGCTCGGTTAACCGCATTGTGTGCACCCCTAATACCAAATGAGCAATATCAATATGTAACTAATGGGATTGTTCCAAAAAGAAAAAACAAAAGCTTTGGATTTGGGGACTAGTTACCGTGGGACTTTTAAAAAAGGAAAATAAAATCCAGTAATATAAAGAGCACCACTAGAACTATGAAGTGAATCTTTAGAGTTAGGTCGAGCATTTCAAAATGAAAGAGAGCTGGGTTACCACAGACGAGCCTACTATTCAACAGTTATAAACAACGAGAAAAGCAAAAACCAAAAAGGGAAAAAATCAAGAGAGTGAGAGAAAGCGGGCAGCTTACCGTTTTCAGAGGTGCGTGTTTTCTAGAGCGAGCGATGGGATAACAGTTATCTTGATGAATGTAAAAAGGCAAGAAAAAAAAGATGTAAGCTTTGGGGCTTTCAGAAATTAGGGTTTTAACCGTTTATCAAATCAGAAAACCTTTTTTTCTTCAGTTACTTTTCTTTTATTCTTAGCCATCAAATTCGATTACAATCGAATCAAACAGTAGACATGTGCCTGTGAAATGGCAGCCCGGCCCAACCCCGCCGAGGGTCGCGGGCTAGGCGGGCTGGCCCGCCTCATAATAGATAATTAAAAAATTACTAAAACATGGGAGCAAGTAAACAAAACTTGCGGCCTCATAATAGATAATAAAAAAAAAAGTACTAAAAAAAATCCACCACTTCACAAATCAGAAATCGAAATTCACAGTCACACACGCACTTAATTTTAGTCTTCAAATTCAGTAACCAAAAATCAACCCATGAATCATTCAATAATCATAAATCATATTCATTTCAGAATTAGAGAATTTAGGTTTAGCCATTTCATTTTCAGAATTCAATAAACCAAAATCCACAAATCATTTCAAATCATAAATCACAGTTCATTTTGAGTATTAGGTTCAACCATCACCACCGGAAGAAACTTCCTTTCCGACGTTGCCATTGCCGCTCGGAATTGGAGTCACCGCTCTGCCGCTAGCCCGCTCGCCTCTCGCTGCTCGCCGGTCGCCGCTAGCATCCGCCGCTTCCTTGCCGCTCGCCGTCCCCGCTCCAAGGTCGCCGCCACACACCGGTCACTGCTCGCCGTCCTCGCTCCGCTCCGCTCACTCCGCTCGGTCGCTCCGCTACGCTCGCAGGCATCAGCCTACCCCCTTCCTTTGTCAATATATGAGTCATACCAACAGATTCAAATTTGAGCAACTTCTTTTTGCATGCGTGAAAGGTTTTAACATGGATTTCATTTTCAATTTGCACACACAAATAAATAAATAGGTTTATGCAGTTGAACATCTTTGCTTAGACGTCAAATCAATACATACCCAAATGATTGTGTGTGAATGTGTGTGATATGGATGGCTAAATTTCTATTAATTCAAAGTTAAACCGAATAATTTAACCTGTTAAATTGTTAATGATCACTAAAGTAATTTCATTGGTTTAAGCTCTGCAGCCTTGGAAATTCAATTGACTAATCATAAAATCCACATGCTACACGTGGGAGACTGCGTTTTGGTCTCAAACCAAAGTCACTTTTCACATTTTCAAAGGTTCTTTTTTTAACATTTTCACATTATTATTATAATGTTAATGTGCATTAACATAATAGCTATCATAATGTTCAATAATTGATATAGTAAATAGTATAATGTATATTATTTACTCAAATTTTAAAAAACTGAAAGAATTTAGCATAATGATCAAATTCACTTAACATGAAATCAGTTTAAATCTATATTTATATGTATAGTTTATCAAATCTTTTCCTGGCCTCACATGTTGTCAAAATTCCAACTAATTAAGCACTAAACACAATTGAATATTTTAATCAACTATAAGTTGGGTGGGTCACTTTTGGCAGAAATGTTGGTCACAAGTGTTACATTATGCAATCTGATGAATGATAGCTTGTGATTGGATATTGAAACAAAAAATAATGGCTATAAAGATTTGATATTATATTGGGAGATATATATAAGATTAAAATCACGACCTCCAATCATTTGTGAAATGAACCAAGATTACAAGCATTATGAACAACTACTAACCACATGTTGTGGTTAGTAGTTCATAATACATATGTGTGTTAATAAGTTGTGAAATTTAATTACATTATTTGATTAAGTATCTCATAACAAGAATCTTCCTGGGTATTGTTTTTGGAGTATAGCAGCATATATGAAAAGGTACATTATAATTTTTTTTTTCCTTTTATTATTTTCATTATCTTCTACAAACAAGTTACTTTCATGCCAAAGTGTATATCATTGAATGGTAAACTATGATCTGAAAACAGCAAACAACTATACTTATTAAGGATCGATTTCATCAAACACGTTAAGGCTCGAGTTTGTTTAAAACTTAAGACTTGAGAGATTTGTATCTTAGTTTTTTGAATTTTTACTTAATTTTACATAACCGAAAATCTCAATATTTTTTGAAATCTCAATATGCTTGTATGACATTAATTTAATTGATTGAGCATAGAAAGTAAAAGTAAAAAGAAAAAAAAATTGAATAGCAATTCTATAGAAAAAAAAAAGTTAAGGAGAAAGTTAAGGAGAATTTGGCATAGAAAGTAAAAGTTATGTAAATCTCAATTTACATAACTTCAGCAATTTCCTTTTCTAACCTTTCAGACTCCTTCCACGACTTCTCCTCAACCTCTTTCAGCTCTANGGGAAGTTTTAAAAGATTATTCGCAATAATCTTGGATTCGCAAGATGTTGATAATAGAACAGATGGCTTTTTAACATTTATGTCCATTCTTCATATAATCATGTTTGGTGTAATACTCGAGAAGCCCTAGATCTTGTGTTACAGACCGTTCATCTATAGATCCTTTTTATTCTGTTATATTATCTAGAATAAATTACTGTAATACCACTAAAGAACTCTTCCATATATTAATATATGGTAAAGTAAGACAACAGATTTTTCCAAATTTCAAGAAAATGGTATACAACAATGTAATAGCATTCATGATTATCTCACCAGGGCATCGAACTTAGGTTTGTACTCAGGAGTGACATTGTCAACATACTGGGGAATCTTAACTTCTGCATGGATATAAATATATGCAAAGAATCAGATAATTTAGAAATCAAAGAAACTGAAAAGTAAGTTTTCAAGCTGCAACAGCGAATCAGGACTTACATCTTCCAGAGTCGATGTCTAATAATCTTACTAACAATGGCCAATGGAAGAAGTTCATATATGCAAGTGACTGACTTTACCAAAACATATAGTTACAATGATATTTGTTGAATAATTCAATTGTATGTACAAAATAAATATAAATTAAAAACTGATAATCTCAATTATTCCAAACATGATGCTACCATGTTACGTAATTTCACCATGACATGTGACAATTAGGAGATGCTCTTAATTTTGGACAGTGTAAACAGTAACATAGTCTACCCCAAAAAAAAAAAAAGAACTATTTGAGTAGGAGGAAGATACCGGTGCGTACTCAATTCATCCTTGGAATTCGAATATAACTTCGGTTTTGCCAATGTTAGCACAAGTTTACAGAACAAAAACACATCTGGCATTGTTACACTCAAGGCCACCATATTCTAGTAAATATAATAAAATTTGAAAATTTCATCAAATAACAGATATCGACAAGCTACTGTTGCAGTTGCCTGCTTCTGCACCAAAGAAGGTTTGTGTAGTTATTAAATAATATAATCTTCAGGCAAGAGACAAAGTCCAACTACAGAAGTCACTTCCCAAAATTTACAAGGAAATATATGAATGAAATTGTTTTAAGGCAGGCAACAGTATCCGTTCAGGAATATAAAGCAACACCTAGCACATACCGTCATATGATTGCTTGTACATATCAACTAAACGAGAGCCAATCCCTTTTCTGTAATAATCCCAGTCTATGGGTTCTGGTTCCTGCAAACGTAAAATAAAAGGAATATAAAAACTTTTGCCATTTAAGTTTTCCAGTCCATGCATATAAATAGTCCTAACTTACATGCCAATGGAACAAATATTGTACAATAATTTATTGGATTCTCATGGCTTCTATGTTTCCCTCTCATGTCTCATGGCTCGAACAAATATTGTACAATAATTTATTTTTCTCCTGTGTCAATTTCAATAGACACTTTTTGGATTCTCCTGTGTCAATTTCAATAGACATTTTTTGTAATATATCAATTAGAAGCTCTTTTTTCAATATATTTAAAGGACTTTTCTAATTTTGTCATATGATTCCACGACAACCTTGTGTTAAACAATCACTACGTTAAAAAAAAACATTCGAATAAAAACGTTGTAATGCAATGTAGAAATCACGGAGCCATAATTAGATAACAGTTATATAATAAGTGCTATAGAAAGAGTAAGAATAAATAACAATCCTTTTAAAGGTGTTATAAACGTTGTAATTATACATATTATTGAATGAATATTTTCATGTATTTTCAATTATAAGTCATAACACTTCATCTCAATTCCTAGATGTTCCCACTTCCGACATAATAAAAACAAAAATACAATTTATAAATATATAAGAATTAAAAAAAACCATAAAACAAGCAACAGGAGAAGCCGAACCATTGCAGAGCTTCGTACAAAATGAGAAGAGAAAACTCTAAGAAACGTACTCTTCTCGACGTACAAGAAAGGGAGGCAAAACCTACGCGAATTTAGATCAGAAAATTTAACATTGAGTGTCAGAATTATTGGACAAACTTACAACAATGAGTGTTGTTACCCCTTTCTCTACACTTGAGAACTTGGGAGTACGATAGGAAGTGCATAGTTGCAAATCAACTGAAATCTTCATATTCAAACTTAAGTTCGAATCTTTATTCAGCTAAGGTAAACTTGTTTCGTTAACTAATCGAGTTGGTTCATTTATCAACGTTAACAAGTCAAGCTCGAACTTCAACAAGCCAAACTGAGATAATAATTTAAAAAAGTTATGTAATAATCGCTACTAGTACAATACCTGTGTATTACAGGAGTACTTGTTATGAAAATAATTTTTAAAATTAAATAATAATAACAACAACAATTATTTAAAATTAAGTATATATATTTATTAGGCTAATTTGAAGTTTTCATTGAAATTAATAAGCCAGAGCTTCCAAAACAAATCAAGGTTGTATTAGTCAATCAATACCATTACAAAAAGTTCCAATCTATACTTAAAATAAAAGGTATATCATTTACCAGATTTAGTATAAATAAAAATTAACAACATTTATTGCATTACTATTTCCGTTATACAATCTATACTTATATAAAAAGAGATTTTATTTACTATATTTACTATTTAGAAAAGTCAACTGCATTAAATGCCATTACTATTTTGGTATTATAATATTTTATTTATTTAATTGATTTATTTATTTGTTTTATTTTAAAAAGATAAGTATAATAAAAAGATTTTAATAATAAAAAAATCAAATACCAAATAAAAATGTACACTTTGACTTATTTGATTATATTTGGTATTTGATTATACCAAATATATTCCTATTTAGTATATACATTAAATACTTACTAAAGTATTTATTTGTTTCATTTGTCAAAGTTAACTATAGATTTGTTTATATTATCAAATCATAAAAAAATATTAAATCCATATTGTAAAAAAAAAAATCATATAATTTTATAACAATTCTACTACACTATTTAACAATATTTTTTTTTTATTATATAATAAAATAATAATTAAATATTATATGGTGAACAACAATAAGTAAAACTGTTACTTTCTCTTATATCAAGGGATAAATTTATATGCTAAAATTAAATTTTTATTAGTATAAATGTTTTAGTGAGATAATATATTAATTATTTTACAAGCTAGCCCTAACATGCTCATATTTAATGTTTTAAAAGATGTAGAAAAAAAACTTATAATAACTCTATTGTTTTTTAGACTTAAACGTTGATTAAAAGAGGTAAAAATTCCTAATTTTTTAGACTTAAACATTGATTAACACCATAGATTGAGAGTTTATATTTAGTAAAATTCCTAATTGTAATAAAAAAATTAATTTTTGCTATATTTTAGAATATCTTTAAATTCATTATAAAAAAAAAAGAAAAAAAACTACATTGAAAAAAGCAAATCAGCTACATATCGATTTATTGTACTCCTCAAATCACATTCACAATTTGGCTACAAGGAAAGGAAACTCATTAATTAAAATATTATTTTGTCAGTAGTCTTAATGTACAAGAGACTTTAAGACTCCACTTGAATATTATAAAACTTTTATTGAACATTGTACAATTTTCTTGCGTATTATAAACTTTTATTGAATATTGCATCTTATAATATAATATTCTCCAAATAAATATATCTCGTGCTTTGCACGGATCACGTACTATATATATCCCTTACATTTTTTTTTATTCATGTATATAATTATAAGACTGGATAAATAGTCTTATAATTGTGCACCCCGTGCATTGCACGGGCGCTGTACTAGTACAACTTAAGAGTTATATTAGTCAAACTATTATGTAATTACTAAGTTAGTTTTTCAGTATTTTTGGAATGTCCGAACCTAAAATTATTGATTTAGAATAATATTATTTTTATCCAAACCAAACTACGGAACATGTATTTCGCCGAGTAGGATTCCAAAACATGCGAGACTACCACTTAGGCTCAGCGCATTTTTTAATTATATATAGGAGGGATTTTCTGAGTCTAACGAGCAAGAACTCGAGCCTTTAACGAGTTGAGGAGATGGACTCGTTAACAAAACAAGCCAGTAGCTGAGCTCGAGTTCGGGTCCTTAATTAATTAATATTAACGAGTCCAGCTTGAACCTCGACGAGCTGATTGAACTCGAGTATTAACAAGACGAACCATACAAAAATATAAAAAATTTATGTTCGACTTTAATGAGCCGAGCAAAGTCTCTCTCGGTAACGAAGATATAAGATAACCTTTTCAAGTCATGTTGATTAGAGAGAATAATTCTCTACACCACCAGTTAACCGGCCAGACCTAGGACTACCTTAAAGAAAGAATAGATACTCGATTTCGTGAATTGTATCTTCAGTTTTTGATAACTCAAAATTATTTTTAACAGTAATTGATAAACAAACAAAGTTGGAAAAATAATTAATGCTTTGAAAGTTGGCAGTTAGAAAAGCTCTCTATGCTTAGCAACTGAGATGCAACAAAATCACTTTCTCATAGAAGTTAATAAAAACCAATTAATTAACAAAATTAATAAAAATTAAATTACAGTCGGCTATACCCAAAACATATGAACATTAATTGTAAACCTCAAATGGACACAACAAAATTATGTGTAATGCCACTCGAGGAGGCAACCCGATTGCTTCCTAAAAATAATGTGATAAAAAATATTTAATTTAAGATGATACGAAAGATATTGAGAAAATCAGAGGACGTTCTCGATATTATATATATATATATATATATATATATATATATATATATATATGCGTGGTCTTGAGAAATTTTTTGAAGGCATGATACTCTTGTTCATAGAGCTAGATTGAGCCAGGTCAACCTAAAGAGGAAAGAGGAAAGATCATCAAGACCTTACGAATGCAGGCTGTTTCACCTCTGACTTGATAGATACAAGTTCATGATAAAGCAATCCCAATAAAGAAGACAACAAAATAGTCTTGGACGAAATTCAAGAAAAAGAACTTGTAAAAAACTTGTCAATGTATCTTACCAAAGACAACCACTAACATCCTACACAGATAATCAATTCCAGCCTCCCAAATAAAGAAAAAAATAAAATCATCAAGCAATCACACACAAAACGATAAAAATAGATTATTATCAACAAAACAAATAAATACCAAAATATATGTTCTCTTTGTTAGCTCAAACTTTCTCAAAATTCTATTATATTTTTAACCCAAAAAATTCATACACCAATTTCAAAATCTAAACTTTATCCAATTTCTACTTTCTTTCTTACATAAATCTGAAAAAGAGCACAAGATTTGATATTTCCTGTCAATGAAAATATCAGAATAAATATTATTTTGTAAATCAAAAAGAAAAGGAGAAAAAATAATAATATCAAAACATTTGAGTGTTGGGATATACATATACGTGAGTCAAGGTCAACTGATTCATAATCTTGAGGAAATCTAAGGTTTCCAGGCAATTCACGAGCATGACTATTGTTATTTGGAGCAGTTTGAAAGGTTTCATGAAAATGAAAAATAACTTCATTGAAGAACGTGAGTACAGATTCAGAATGGCTGCCATACTTTGGCTAAGAGCCTTACAATGCTTTTATACTAAGACAAGAAAATAAACCCTAAAAGGAAAGATGACTCATCACATGAGACAACTAACATTAATGCTAAACAAATGGACGTTGCATGTTGCACAAGAAAGGTAAGACATGTACTGAATAAAGTAGACATGTGCTAGGATTATATGAACCACATATTAAGCCTTATGTTTAACAGCCCCTCTCAATCTGAACGAGGTAATGGAAGAACTTTGAGGCGATTCCTTAACCTTGTGAAGGATTGCAATGGTAAAGGCTTTGTAAGTACATCTGCAGTTTGATCAATAGAAGGTACATGTCTGACAGAGAAGCACCCTTGATTCACTTTATCTTGAACAAAATACAGATCCAATTCAATGTGCTTGGCTTTAGAGTGTAGAACAGGATTAGAGGCCAAAGCTTCAGCTCCAATATTATCAGTCCAAATCACTGGTACAGTAGATAAAAGAAGTTGAAGTTCTTTAAGCAAAAAGGTTAGCCAAAGAACATCTGTGCTGCAATGAGCAAGGCTTCTAAACTCAGCCTCAGCACTAGACCTGGAGATGGAGTGTTGTTTCTTTGAGCACCAGGAGACACGATTATCACCAAGATAAATACAAAAGCCAGTGACAGATTTCTTGTCATCAATATATGTTGCCCAATCTGAATCAGAGTAGGCAATGATGTTCATGTTTGAAGATCTAGAGAAAGACAGAC